ATGTCTAGAAAGAGATATAATCGCTAATGCAGACAGCAAATTTACGTCCACGTCCTTACAACGCATCACCATCCTTGCAAGATTTTCTGTTGTCACAATGTGGGATGTTTAAAGACAAAGATGAGGGAAAGAAAAAGAAATAGAACATAGATGAATTTGATTAGACTGCAAAAATTATTTTTTTTAAATTTCAAAAATAATTTTTAAATTACCAGCATCACTCGTTTCTGCGTATGTCTAGTCACAACAATGTCAACGAATGAAACGCGTCACAAATAAACCATTTCCATTTAGTCTTACAATATCTTCAAAATATATATATATATATATATATATATATATATATATATATATATATATATATGAAGAAATATAGTTCTGAGGAATGCTATATTTATGGTATAAAATGTTCATTATCAGGGATAGAGCGTATGTAATTATAAAAGTAAACACTGAAGTCAATACTCAGTGGCGCCATATGCGTTATGTTTTTTTCTCGACTACTTATATTTACAGGGAATTGGTGCATTGTGTGTAGTCTGTCCTAACGGTTATTTTGGCGGGAGCGGTTTGTCAATTGGTTTATTATTTAATTAATTTATTTGGATTATTTGATTACTTGATTTTGCTTATTTATTTTTATTTTAAATAGTCAAGAAAAAAACAATTTGGCTTGATGGTTGCGTTTATCATGAAACAGTCTGTCAATGTTCACATTTACATATATATATATATATATATATATATATATATATATATATAATGGGTTAAGTCGCTCAATTAATTCTCATATTTTCTGTTTATACGTCATTGTTTTAGTTACAATTTATTTAAGTAAATGCTCTGTATTTAATTAAACAGTATTAATTACACTTACCGACTCGAATATTCGAGAAATTTCGAATAAAATTTCAATTTTCAGACAAGAATCGAACCAGTATTCTTATCCGGAATCCATCATTTGATCTGACTTGCTATACAATTTGGCCGCAGAATATATATATATATATATATATATATATATATATATATATATATATATATATATATTCAGTGAAAAAGTATATATGTATATATATATATATATGTGTGTGTGTGTGTGGCATTTTTTTCCAAGGCAAAAAGAAAAGAAAGGAAAGAGAGGAAGGAAAGAAAGGAAAAGAGAGGCGAGGCCCAAACGTGGATGATAAGTAGGACACCCAAGACTAAGAGACAATGGATAAAGGATATTTTGATAAGTAACAAATGGCAAAAACTGTCATTACAATGGCAGAAAAATTTCTAAGTGGATAAAGGAATCGTTGTGTTCTGGCGACGAGCTGTGTTATCGGGGATACATAACCAAACCGCTAATGCGAGAAAACATCTGATTAAGCAAACCACAGACCGACTAGCCAAAGAAAAATCCAATTGAAAATGTTATTTTGATAATTGACAAAAACAGGTGAACTACAGGGCTTTGGATAGATATGAAAAATGAATTGTGTCAAAGCCGCACACGAGGTGGCGACTGACCGTTTTTCTTTTGACAAGACATCCTTAGCTGCGATAATAAAACTATGTTATCAGTAATGTTCACCAGAGAGTGACTGGAAACCTAGAAATGTTTCTTTTCGAGGCGACGGACGATTGTGTTGTGTCAAATAGACCACCCATTCTGATAATTAGCGATAATCTGACTGACGATGTCCAGATGAGACCGGGGTAAAATAATTTTTTTTTTAGCGAGATATATATATTTTTTCCTGAAACAAAGCCCGCGGGATCGTACACGCCGGATGGTCATCATTGGCCGAGTGGTGATCACGTGACGCAAGGAGGGAGCTGTCACCGCCCTTTTAGAGGATGGGTATGAGAGGTCGCTACGAGGAAGTGGGGAGGGCAGTTCACGCCCCTCTGAAGTATGGTGAGAAGGTGGGAGTAAGAGAAGGCTCCCAAAATGGAAGAGGTGGAAAATTCCTAACCAAAAATAAAAGAAGTGGATATGTATTTAGAATTATTGAGGAACCCCTGGCGCCGACAAACCCACCCCGGTTTTGGTCGGCGTCCATATGAGCAAAGTTCCAGCAGACAATTCCAGCAGACAGTTCCAGAGTTGAGTTCGGGAGAGACAGTTCCCAGAGTCAGTCTCCAGTGCTCAGTTGAAACAAGCCTCGCATCGGCTGACCAAGATTCGCGCAAATTCCGGACTCATCTTCAATCCAAGAACAATTATTTTGAAGAGCGACTTAGATCCAGACCACCAAAATAAGTTTTTTTCGACTTTCGCCCGAAGACACACCGAAAAACCAATTTCTTAAAGAGCAAACAACTTGAAGTGTTAAAACTCGCCTAACGGAAAACAACGTGTCACAATCCATAGAACTGGTCGGGAGATAGACGCAGTCCTATGTATCCAACAACTAGACATAAAGTTTGCTATCCTTTTTTTTTTGATACCTTGAACTTTTGAGTTATCATTTTATTTTCTTGTATGCATATTTGTGCGGTGCCACCTCCGTTTGAACCCGATTTGCATTACGGCCCCAACTACTGATTGATTTCGACTGCCTAAGATCAATTCACGACGTGGGTAGGAGACTGGAGATCAATGCAGTTACTTTGGTAACCAGACGTTGGAAGCGAGTTGGGAACGACGAGGCTGATATCTAATCTAACCAGATTCCCATTCGAATCACCAAAAGGTTAGAACGTCACATTTGGGTGCCGCGACCGATAACATCAGCTGTATTAATCCACTGTAGTAGTCCAAGGGTGTTTTTTATGGAGTGGCTGGTTCTTTTCAAGATAGTCTTACTAATTCTACTAATTTCTGGTCTAGTAGGGTTTATAAGCCTAGTAGATGGCTTAGTTCTGAATTCGGGTTTATGGTCTTTTAACAAGACATACGCTTCCTTTGTTTGTAGTTTACTGACCCGGTCACTAATATGTAGTTTATCAGTAATTGATTTACTGATACAGTTAATCTTATCTATCTGGTTAAAGTTATTGTTATCAATGTTTTATTCTAGCTTCTGGTCAGACTATTTTAACTAATGTATCATAATCCTTAGGGGATAATTAATAAAAGTTAGCCGTTTTGTCGGATGTATTTGTATTGTTTTACGCGAGAGGTTAGCACCCTACTCACACACTCGGGATTAAAATGTATACATTTTATCGGGAAGACCACCTGATTTTAGCGTCTATTCTAACGTAATTTCAATGAAGAAATAAATTGAATAACATATGTAATTTTTCTCCTCAGTAATTTTTTAATTTTAAACTTAATAGATTTTAGAATGGGTAATTTTTTACTTTTAATTTTAATATCAAATTTTATCATATAATTTAATACTTATTGGTTAGAATAAATTCTATTTGAGTATAACCCCAACTTTAAAGCTCTTAATAGCTATTACAGCCTTACTTCGTTGTCAAGTTTTTTGAATTCTCCTATACTTGTGTTTTGATTGGTAATTCTAGCTTTTCTAAAAGCGTTTTCCCCTTGCGAAGGATGGTTAATTAATTTGAAACTTTTAAAACCATTTATTTTACATTCAATATCATCACTCAGTAAGACACCGGAGGTGTTGAAACAAAATAGCTATTTTTTGTAGTGATTTTATAACATATTTATGTTATAATTTTTAAATAAATAATTATATATATATATATATATATATATATATATATATATATATATATATATGGTCTGACAACAGCGTTTAACATGAAACAGCCTGTTGCCTCTAACTTTGGACTTCAATGTTCACTTTTCTATTTACACACCGTCTATCTCTGATATTGAGCACTATATCCCATAAATATAGCACACATTAAGACTATATTTCTTCATATATATATATATATATATATATATATATATATATATATATATATATACTGAAAACTGATTTTGTGACATTTTCATCCGTTAGGATTTCATCGAACATATACACAAAAACACTTTTCAGTTTGTCATACATTCTAATTACTGTTTTTTGATATATAAAGTTATACATCGTTATATCGTGCACATGAAACCCGACTGAACTGGCATCAGTCGGGGATTCTACCACTAAGCCTTTGGCGCACAGGAAGGATGAAGTTGAATTTAGGCGTATTTATTTCTAGATAAACACACAGTGACTGAGAGAACTCGAGTCGATTTACCGAAGAGTCTTGCATATATATATATATATATATATATATATATATACTATATTGCTACAAAAAAGAAGAACTAAATGGGGAGTGGTTGTGACTCCATGATATTTTCATTGTTACATTCTGCTGGTCAAAAACAGATCTTCAGTTTTTCGTAAATAAGCAGCTATTGATTTCACTGATTTCTATCTTTCTGCACAAACCCTGCGTCCCCACCCACTTACCGAACCTGAACAAATATCCAATCAGGGCTAATAAGATTTTTATTATGTGCTGAGCATACGATCATGAATGTACTTGTATTGCCCATGTGTTGAGTCTGTGACTGGATTTTTTTTTTAGAAGAATCCATTGTTTGGATATTTTTTTTGTAAAAAATATGGCTTTTTATTTATTTTTTCATCATTTTGTCGAAGTTTATCTTCTCTTTTCAGATATGAACTTATTTTATGAGAAGTAAATAGCAAAAAGAACGTTTGATAAAAATATAAAGGTAAGGAAAGGATATATTTAGAATGGGAGGATGATGATGACAAGAAGAAGAAGAAGAAAAGTAGAACGAAAGAAGAAGAAAGGTAGAACGAGAAGAAGAAAAGAAGCAGACTGAGAAGAAGAAGAAGAAGAAGAAGAAGGAAAGAAGCAGTATGAGAAAAAACAAGAAAAATTAGAAGAAGAAGTAGGCAAAGAAGAAGAAGAATGAGAAAAAGAACAAACAGAATGAGAAGAAGTAGGCAAAGAAAAAGAAGAAAAAATGAAATGGAGGAGAATGAGAAGAAGAAGAAGAAGAAGAAGAAATTTAAAGCAGAATGAATAGAAGAAGAAAGAAGAGAAAAAAAGAAAAGAAGAAAAAACTATGAAAAAAAAAAAGAAAAAAAAGGAATAAAAGAAAAAGAAATAAGAAATGAGATTAAAAGAAAAGAAGAAAAGAAAAAAAGAAAAGAAGAAAAAAGAAAAAAGAAAAGAAGATATAAAGAAAAGAAAAATGAAAAAAGAGAAAAAAGCAAAATGAAGAAAGAAAGAAAAGAAGAAAGAGAAAAAAAGAGAGAAAAAAAAAAAGAAAAAAGAAGAGAGAAAAAAGAAAGAAGAAAAGAAATCAAATAAAGAGAGAAAGAAAATGAAAATGGAAACGAAAGACACCAGAAAAAAAAAAGAAAACCTGAAAAGAAAAAAAGAAAATTTATATGAAAAAAAGAAGAAAGAAAGAAAAGAAAAGAAGAAATGTTGAAAAGAATGTAAAGAAAAAGAAGATAGAAAAAGAAAAAGAAGAGAGAAAGAAAAGAAAAAAAAAAAAATGAAAAATATGAATAAAAAGAAAGAAAGAAGAAAGAAAAGAAAATGAAGAGATAGAAAGAAAAAAAAGATAGAAAGAAAAGAAGCAGGTTAAAAGAAAAAGAAGAAAAAATGAAATGGAGGAGAATGAGAAGAAGAAGAAGAAGAAGAAGAAAGAAGCAGAATGAATAGAAGAAGAAGAAGAGAGAAAGAAAAGAAGGAAAAGAAGAGAGAAAGAAAAGAAGATAGAAAGAAAAGAAGAGAGAAAGAAAAGAAGAGAGAAAGAAAAAGAAAGAAAAGAAAGAAAAAGAAAGAAATTGAAAAGAAGAGAGAAAGAAAAGAAGAGAGAAAGAAAAGAAGGAAAAGAAGAGAGAAAGAAAAGAAGAAAGAAAGAAAAGAAGATAGAAAGAAAAGAAGATAGAAAGAAAAGAAGAGAGAAAGAAAAGAAGATAGAAAGAAAAGAAGTGAGAAAGAAAAGAAGAGAGAAAGAAAAGAAGAGAGAAGAAAAGAAAGAAAAGAAAGAAGAGAAAAGAAAAGAAGAGAGAAAAAGAAAAAGAAGAGAGAAAGAAAAAGAAGAAAGAAAAGAAGAGAAAAAAGAAAAGAAGAAAAAAAGAATAGAAGAAAGAAAGAAAAAGAGAAAAGAAAGAGAAAGAAAGAAAGAAAGAAGAAAGAAAGAAAAGAAAATGAGAAAGAAAAAGAAGAGAGAAAGAAAAGAAGAGAGAAAAAAAAGATAGAAAGAAAAGAAGAGAAGAAAAAAAAGAAAAAAGAAAGAAGAGAGAAAGAAAAGAAGATAGAAAGAAAAGAAGAAAGAAAGAAAAGAAGAGAGAAAGAAAAGAAGATAGAAAGAAAAGAAGAGAGAAAGAAAAGAAGAAAGAAAGAAAAGAAGAGAGAAAGAAAAGAAGATAGAAAGAAAAGAAGAAAGAAAGAAAAGAAGAGAGAAAGAAAAGAAGATAGAAAGAAAGAAAAAAAGAAAGAGACAGAAAAAAAGAAATATTCACAGAATAGAAAGAAAAATGAGTGATAAGAAAATGAGTAAAAACAAGAAAAAAAGAAAGAATAAAAGAAAGATGAATGTTTATGCAAGAAAGAAACAAAATTTGTGTAAAATATGGAGGTAGAAAAAAACAAAGGAAGGAAAATAAAGAAAGAAAGAAAATTGAACGAACGAAATGTCCAATATTCCTGAGACGAAAAAGAAAAAATAGTTGAGTAACTGAATGAATTCCAAGAGAAGAAAGAACAATCCCTAGACGTTATGATAATAATAATAATAATAATAATAATAATAATTGCATAAAAAAAACAAAAACAAATTATAATAAAAAACGACAAATAAATACAGAGAATAAGAACGAGTAATCGAATCTTGTGCTCTTATTGAGTCGGATGTGGAGCGATATCAAGTCAGACTCAACGCTTGGAGACAATTGATCGCAAGAAGACGTCTAATTCAGAGTCAAGCAGACCATTGACTTTTATGCATAGATAGTTATCCAATCAGACCAGCGCAGATGGTCGAAGGGTAAAGATGGTGTATCGTGGTCGGCTTTAATCAATAAAGTTTCATTCGATCTTCATTTGCAAATTCTTCAACTTAATCGCTGGGATATCGCAGCTTGACATGTCGGCCTGAAAACCCGGGGGGGGTGGTGGGGATTTTTCCGCTTTTGGTCTTGTCTATTCAGGCTCGGTCGATAGAATGAAGGGAGTTGAACTGTTCACCATGCGGCACAGAGTCGTTTATTCTTCGCAGACATGAATTGGGCGAAAAATGAAATAAAATGAAAATAAAGTTCGCAGTGAATGCATAGGAATTATTTGATTGCAAAAAAAGAAGAAAAAAAGATGGCGTTGATAATCAAAAAGAAAAGAGTGGTAGGATGCCCCCATCCAAAATAAAATGTCGATTCTTCCATAACCGAAATGATAAGGACGACGTCCATGACAGATGAGTTTACGAGATGTAAAGTGCGATTTCAAGATTCGTCGGAGGTAAAAATTTTAAATCCATCTTAACGCTAATGGATGGCGGAGTAAGGTTTAGGAGCGATAACAAAAAGAGAAAAAATTATTAAGAGCTACAAACTGAGAGGAAATTATGGAGAGCCATGATCATTAACATCCTGAACGGACACGGCAAACTCTCTTTTTTTTAAGCATTTCATCCCAAACAAGGCGGGAGTGCCATTAGCACGCAAGGAGTTACAGGGAGTGAGAGCAAGAGTAAAGACTGTTGTTTGAGGAAAGGATAGAGAGAATGGCGGGGATCAGGATCAAGTCTTCAGAGGATGTCAATTGACATTACATTTGAATATTTGAAGATTATGGCTATCAGGGAGGCAACTAAGAGGAAGGGAATTCTACTGTCCGGAAGTGCGAGAGAAGAAGCTGTTTGGGTAGAAAAGAGGGTTACATTTAACTGTTTCGACAGTGAAAGGGTGTGACCGAAATCCAACCTTGTATCACGCTTAAATTCATACAATTGAGGTACCAGGAAAAAAAACTATATATTTTCTTAATTATTTCACCCCAAGCAAGGCGAGGGTGCCACTAGCACATAAGGGGTTACAGTGAGTGAGAGCAAGAGTAATGAGTAAATAAGGGTGTTTGATTAAAGGATATCAAGATGGATTGGGATCAGGATCAAGGCTTCAGAAGATGTCGATCGACATTACATTTGAAGATTATAGGTATCGGCGAAGCAAGTAAAAGGAAGAGAACTCCACAGACGGGAAGTGCGAGATAAGAAGCTGTTAGAGTAGAAGATGCGGTTATATTTAACTGTTTCGGCAGTGAATGAGAGAGACCGAGATGTCATGATACTTGAATTCATGTAGTGAAAATAGCTCGTCAGTGAAAAAGTGACTGTAGACGAGATGCCAGATCAGTAACTATCAGAAGAAGTAGAAAAAAAGAAAAAATAAGAAGAAAAAGAAGAAAAAAGAAAAGAAAAAATAGAAGAAAAAAGAAAAATAGAAGAAAAAAAGAAAGAAAGAAGAAAAAAGAGAATAAAGAAGAAAAAGTAGAAAAAATGAAGAAAAATAGAAGATAAAAAAAAAGGAAGATGAAGAAGAAGTCTATAAAAATAATTCTTTTAAGTAACAAACAGATATATACATTTGAAATTAAAGAAAATTGTTGATTAATTTAATAATAAAGAATACGAAGCTCAGGTCAAAGGTTAATCAACTGACTATGAAGAGATGATGAGACAACTGCGAAATCTTGCATGCATTAATTTCAAGTCTTCTTATTAATAACACCATTGTTCCTCTCCATTAAAATTTTTCAGTCCCATTTTCACTTGTCAACTTGTCCTATGGGAAATGGCCCTGTTAAGAGTGATTGTCAACCGCCACTTTGCAATAAATTTGACGGGAAATATTCTCATGGCATATATATATATATATATATATATATATATATATATATATATATATATATATAAAAGATATTTTTGTAGGTACAAAAATTTAATGATCGAAATAAAAGTATAAAATTTAATATTACAGGCATATTAAACGCAAAAATAAAAAAAAAAAATAAAGACACAACAACGGGGGGAAGGACCGGTTTGCTCCCACTATTCAGGCTTCAACGGGAGATTCAAAATTAATACAGAACAATGTAAATAAGAATTGGGAAAAATATAAATAAATATATGCAGAAGGAACTAGAGACAGATGACAAGGAGTCCAAGCAAACACTCACGTTGTTTGCACAAAGAAGGCTTGACAGGACCTGATGTAAAGTGCCTCCAGAACCTTCAGATGAAATACAGAGGAGACAATCCCAACACGGTGAACCAAAGTTTAACACTAAATTTGCTGCACAATCTTAAAGATGTTTAAAAGATGTTCGTGTATGGTGGAACTTATTTTTTATTTTTGTGTTTAATATGTCTTGTAATATTAAATTTCATATCTCAATATATATATATATATATATATATATATATATATATATATATATATATATATATATATATACATACACACTGCCTGCCAAATTATTATCGAGACAACTTTTTTTCTAATATTTCAAAACCGTCCAATTAATTCTAAAATATTTTCACAATGTTGGCAACACTGAACTGCACAATCGCTGAAATTTTGTACCGATCTGCGCAATGTAAAACAAACTGGCGCCATATTTGTTATCAGCACAGTGATTTGAGGTGCCAAATTATTTGAAATGTATAAGAATTTAGTGAAAAGATGGGTCGTAAAAGCAGTTTATGATGCTGAAAAAAACCCATTACCTCAGAACTCTCAAAAAGTAAATCTACCTAGAAATTTTAAAATGATAGGAAGTGTCATCAAAACAGTGAAAAATTCACCGCCGACCCTACCCAAGTACGCAAAAGGCATATAAAAGGCAAGCCGAGGGTTATTTCACGTCGTCTCATATCACGACTTAAACGAGAGGCCACGAAGAACCCTGAACTTACCAGCCAAGAGCTTTTCAGTCGCACTGTAGATCCTACTGTGTCTTAAAGTACTCGGTGTCTGTATCTGAGGGAAATAGCAACAACAGTCAAACCTGTATCGAAGCTTCCGTTGACGAGAAATCACATTCAAAATCGATTGAAATGGGCCGAGGACAATACTGATTGACTTCTCTAAAGTTTTATTCACAGACGAATCTCGAGCAACACTTGATGGGCCAGATAGATGGTGCAAAGGCTGGGTAATGAACGGACAGAATCGCCATCAGTGTTTGAGACCCCAACAAGGCGGTGAAGGCATAATGATCTGGGGTGGTATTATTAGAAACACATTAGTGGGCCCATGGAGAGTACCAGATGGCGTCAAAATGAATGCTGATGCATACATAGCGATTATGAAGGAGCATCTTGAACCGTGGATGAAAAGGCAAAGTGTTGCCTTCAGAAGGGCCATTGTTTTTTATGCAAGATAATGCTCCCTCACACGCTGCTCACAAGACTACTGAATATTTGAAACAGGCTTCGATGGACCTCGAAAAATGAAGCGGCCAGCAAATTCTCCGGATTTGAACCCAATCGAAAACCTTTGGAGCATCATGAAGCGAAGACTGTAGGCCAACGGACGACAATTCAGGAGCAACGCTGAGTTGTGGGAAGCAATTTTTGACATATCTCGCGGCATTACAGCAGATGACATCCTACAATTAACAAATTCTATGGATCGTCGACTTTTTCAAGTAATTTCAAAACAGGGAAAGCACATTCCCTATTATTTTTTTTAAAAACTGTGCTTTTGTTTGTATCTGTTATTATTTGTTTGATTATCTTATTAGCTTCTTTGATCATAAATATCCACGTGCAACATTAATAAACGTTTTGTTTGGTTAATTCTGGGAATTTTACTAAACCTTTCAAATAATTTGGCACGCTCAAATCACCGTGCTGATAACAAATATGGCACCAGTTTGTTTACATTGCGCAGATCAGTACGAAAATGTCAGTGATTACGCAGTTCAGTGTTGCCAACATTGTGTGAAAATTGTGTATGAATTAATTGGACGGTTTTTGAAATATTAGAAAAAAAGTTATCTCGATAATAATTTGGCACGTAGTGTATATATATATATATATATATATATATATATATATATATATATATATATATATATATATGTGTGTGTGTGTGTGTGTGTGTGTGTGTGTGTGTGTGTGTGTGTGTGTGTGTGTTTAGTTGAATAAAGGAATATTAATTTTTTTATATAATTTTATACAAATATCGTTACTATAACATGCGGTCTATCCCGGTATCAAACACTACAGTATGCAGTCTACCCCAGTATCAAACCCTATAACATGTGGTCAACCCCGGTATCAAACATTATAGCATGCTGTTCACAATCGGTATCACACAATTATAAAGCATGTGGTCTACCCTGGTATCAAACATTATAGCATGCTATCTACCCCGGTATCAAACACTAGAGCATGTGATCTACCCCGGTATCAAACACTACACTATTCAGTCTACCCCTGTATCAAACCCTATAGCATGTGGTCTACCCCCGAAGTCAAAGCCTATAGCATTTGGTCTACCCCGGTATCAAACATTATAGCATGCTGTCTACCCCGGTATCAAACACTACAGTATGCAGTCTACCCCAGTATCAAACCCTATAGCATGTGGTCACCCCGGTATCAAACCCTATAGCAGGTGGTCTACCCCGCTATCAAACACTACAAAATGAAGTCAACCCCGGTATCAAACACTATAGTATACAATCTACCTAATGTATTACTATAGTATGCTGTCTCCAATACTATCTAACACTATAGAGTATCTGGCAGATAGTTCTCGCTTCTAAATGCGACTGATGTTTCGTCAGCCAAGATGACACCTCTATAAAATGTCTTTCATTAACATTTTAATCTAAAGGAGGTTATCCAGCTATCCTCTAACGGTTACAGACCTAGAGATATTCTTCCTTTTATGTGGACAGGACACGCGAGAGGTGAGATGAGATGAGGTGAGGTGATGGTAGAATTCATCATGGTAGACCGCAGGTGGATAGCACGTGAGGTGAGATGAGGTCACGGTATAATTCATAGCGCGGTAGACCGCATAGTATTATCCGCACCAAAAATTGTTTAATTAAAAATTATCTGGTTTTATTTCATAACATCTAAATTTATACCCTTTAAAAATTTTGCTCAGTGTGACGTGATATTTTTATTTGCTCTTAAGTGTGCCTTTGCATGAAAAGGTTGAGAAACCTTAGCCTACTTGATAAAAGCATTGGTTTGTAAATTTGGTGGCATAGTGATTGCGGGTTCAATCCCTGGGTAGGACAGTGTTAGACCAATCCATTATTGAATCATTCAAAGTCGATGAAGGATTTAACTGAACAAAGCTCATTATTGCCATTTCATGGACAAGATTGTAGTTTGAAAGTGTAATGTGTATCTATGCACGACAATGCTTCTTCTCATGTATCTAATAATAACTGTAAATATATTGAGTGTAAAATGACAGAAGATAATCGAATGGCTACCATCAAGTCCCGATCTGAATCCGATCGAAAATCTATGGTCAATTGTGAAGATGAAATTATATGAAGGTGACAAACAATATGACAGCAAAGCAGACCTATGGTAAACAATTAAAACCACCATGTTGGAAATTGAACCTGCTGTACTAAAAAGAAAATAACAAAATAAATGGATAACAGATTGATTGCTGTTATTGAGAATGATCACTATATTGAGGTGGAAATAATTTAATGACTTGTGATATTGTTGTAACCTAGAAATGGTCACTGAATGAGGATTAAACAAATCGGAGGTTGGAATAGCAATGTTTATAACATCAACAAAATAAAATACTCGCCAGCGGCGTGAGGTAGGTAAACCACTGACAGTGGTGGACTAATTAGACAGTCTATTACCCTCACTTACAATAGTCTCGAAAGTATTTATAAGGATTGGGACATAACCATTAGATAGATAGATAGATAGATAGATAGATAGATAGATAGATAGATAATGAACAGAGATAGATAGATTTATTCATCAGGGACATACCCATTAGTGTTCATAGGTACAGTATATAACAGATAGATAGATAGATAGATAGATAGATAATGAAAAGGGGTTCATAGATAGTGTTCTAACGTAGAAAAGGTTAATGAATGAGGAATAATCAAAACGGAGGTTGGAAATGAAATGGTAATCTTTATAACATCAACAAAATACAATACTCGCCAGCGACGTGAAGTAGGTAAACCACTTCTAGTGGTGGACTACTTAGACGGCATATTACGATATTTAACTGCCTCCCCACGAGGTAGGATGCGACACAAGGACAAATTTAATGTGGCGAAATCCGAGCCCGTGTGCTCGGGCAAAAAATTGCCGGTAGACACCGCATACGCGGGATCGGGTATCTGTCTACCTTCCCGGACGAGTTCCTCTCTGCTCAAAGTCAGGAAGTTCGACACGGCAAGATCTTCCCACGCTGACAGCTTAGGCAGCATATTACCCCCACTTACAATAGTGTCGAACGTATTTATTAGGATTGGGATATACCCATTAATGTTTATATGTACAGTATATAAAACATATACACCCTTGTACAAATTAATTGAAACAACCATTTTAGTTTCCTTCCTTTCGCATATGGTCAGCTTTAGACCCACTGGAGTGACATCGTGTTATCGATTTCTATTTTTTCCTCTGTTTAAGTCATTTGCAGCGGTGTGCAGTAATATGAACGTTTTCGGAGTGCATGATGAAATTTTTTTGGCCTTGAAAAATATTGCGTCATACGTGATTGCATTAGAGTTTTATCATGCCCAGACACTATTGTCCTGACTGTCGATTAGTTGTCCTACGGTATTTTTTTTATCGGCGATGGACGTTACTCCAAGGAAGCGTACGAAAATTGTAACGTTGCACGGACACACTGGCAAGCCTTTACCAGTGAGCAAATCAAAATACTATAAACTGGCCCGGAAACCATTTTGATTTAAATCCAATCGAGAATTGGTGGTAAATCTGCAAGGAACTACTTCGTGGAATGGACATACGAACACAGAGGCAAGCCTTACCAGTGAGCAAAGTAAAGTACTAAAGTCTGGCCCGGAAACTCTCTTGATTTAAATCCAATCGAGAATCTGTGGTCAATCTGCAAGGGTTGACTTCGTGGAATGGACATACGAACACACTGGCAAGCCTTACCAGTGAGCAAATCAAAATACTATAAACTGGCCAGGAAACCCTCCTGGCTTAAATTTAATCGAGAATCGGTGGTCAATCTGCAAGGAAAGGCTTCGTGGAATGCACATACGAAGTACTAACATGGGCACTGGGTTATGTTTCATAGGAAAAATACGAAAAATAAATAACGGAATTATTCGTTTTATTTTAATTCATTTGCACAACGGTGTATATATGTTATTTGGTCTATTATAGATGTTGCTCAATTGCTGATGATTTTATTAACTTGGTAGTAAAGTGAAAATTGATTTTTTGGTTTAACTAATAAGTTCAGAGGGTAGCTTTTTATAATAAACCCATAAACTTTAATAAAACATATTGAAACTACATGAGAAAATTAACTGAAAATTTGGTTTGACGTTCGTATAGATCATTTAAAATTTAACAAAAATTGTTCAATGCAAATTCGAATTATCGAGCTTTATGTGATTTCCATAACTTCAGACGGATTGACTATATTCTTAATTAAATTTTTTTTTTTTTTTTTTTTTACGTCATATCAACCTCTATGGGTTATTTAATGCCGACAAGATTTTTATTCTTTGTAATATTTTTTCCTTCAATAATGTATTGCTGGTAATTTTCTTTTTTTCAAAATTGTATTGCTGGTAATATTTTTCCCCAAAAATATATTGCCGGTCATTTCTTTTCCTTCAAAAATGTATTGCCGCTAATACTTTTCCTTCAAAAATGCATTGCTGGTAATATTTTTTTCCTTCAATAATGTATTTCTGGTAATATTTTTTTCTTTCAGTAATGTATTGCTGGTAATATTTTTTCCTTCAATAATGTATTGCTGGTAATATTTTTTCTTTCAATAATGTATTGCTGGTAATATTTTTTCTTTCAATAATGTATTTCTGGTAATATTTTTTCCTTCAATAATGTATTGCTGGTAATATCTTTTTCCTTCAATAATGTATTGCTGGTAATATTTTTTTTTCCTTCAAAAATTTATTGCTGGTAATTTTTTTTCAAAAATATGTTGCTGGTAATATTTTTTTCATCAAAATTTCATTGCTGGTAATATTTTTTTACAACTTGTATTGATGGTATTAAAATCATTTTTATATTTTCTTAGTGTTTTGACCCCAATTTAGGGGTTAACTATTTACCCATAGCTGGGTCCCTAACAGATGCTACCAACCCGGGTCTGTATGGACCTGGGAGCACCAGCAATTAAGAGGTGGTTCCGCGCATCTCAAAACCTTCTGCTCAGAGGCCTTGCTGTTGAATGTAGTTTATCGTATTACCAAGGACGCCTTATTGTGGCGGGATATCTTAAGTATAATTATTTATATATTAATAAAAGTATATATGTTCTTAGTTTCCATAGATAAATAATTATTACCCCCTAAGTTTTTGTGTACAAGCTTCCGAAAAAATCTACAATTAATTTTAAAGTTTTAAAAAATTCAGAAAACTAACAATAATCTACGCCGACATCAATGATGCGACCACACTTCAAAATTGAAATTTGTAGATAACAGATATATCTAATAACTATGTAAAAAGTCAAAGATCGATCTTATAATGCATTGTTGCAACCTAGGAAGGGTTACTGAATAAGAAATAACCAAAACGGAAGTTGGAAATGAAATGGTAATCTTTATAACATCAACAAAATACAATACTCGCCAGCGGCGAGAAGTAGGTAAACCACTGCTAGTGGTGAACTACATAGACACCATATTACCTCCACTTACAATAGTGTCCAGCGTATTTATGAGGATAAGGACATACCCATTAATGTTCATAAATACGTCATATAACAATTATGGACCAGACCCCCATCTTCAAAATTAATAAAAACATCTATATTTTTCGATTGACAAATGTTGTGCCTTGAGAAGGCTTTTAAAAATATGATACACAAAAAATATTCCCTACAAAAAAAAGCCCTTGTTTTTACGATGAAAACCATTTAAGAAGTGACTATAAACTATAAAATTCTTATTTTATTCACTATAAACCAGATAAGAAGTTGAACAAATATTTCATTTAAGTTAAATATAGCTTCTAATTTTAAAAATGTCAATGCGTATTACACAAAGAGATTTCTTTCTAGATTTTGGCATCCCAAAGTTAGAGGTGCGTATTATACACAATTGCGTACTATAAATAAGTAAAGTTCTTTGATTATTCTAAATTGAAACCATACTCATTGGAATAAAACCAATACACACAATAATCGAAATTAATCAATTTTGGAAAGGCAACATAAAAAGTTATGAAGAATTTGCAGGAATCGATGACAGAAGAATATTGCATCAAATGTACTGATAACTTGGAATAGATAACAGGCAAGTCGTTCTTTTATTAGAATTTTATTCAGTATATTGTTACACATTATGATAGATGATCTTGTCGCTTTTCAGCAACTAAATCGATTCCGGGAAGCAAATCAAAGAGGCATATACGTTTGTCATATTCAATTGGCAGTCTTGCAAGAAATTGGTTTTGATCATAGACATTGTTCAAAAACATTGTTCCCCAAGTTAAGTAGACGAGAAATGCAACGTTTTTATTTCCTACTTTTTTTTTTAGTTATTTCACTCCAAGGTGATAAAGTCACTAAGACGCAAGAAATTACAGAAAATGAATAAAAGAAAATGAGTAAAACATTACTGAAGCGAGAGATAGAGAAAAAGAGAGAGAGATAGAGAGAAAAAGAGAGAGAAAGAGAGAGAGAGAAAAAAGGGAGAAAAAGAGCATGAGAAAGAGAGAGGAATATAGCGAGAAAGAGACAGAAAGAGTTAGATGAAAATAGAGAGTAAGAAAGAAAAAGAGAGAGAGAAAAAGAAAGCGAAAGAGAGAGAAAGAAAGAGAAAGAGAGAGAGAGAAAGAAAGAAAGAGAAAGAGAGAAAGAAAGAGATAGAGAAAGAGAGAAAGAAAGAGATAGAGAAAGAGAGCATGAGAAAGAGGGAGAGATAAAAATAGAGAGAAAGAGTTTGAAAGAAAGTGAGAAAGAGAAAAAGAAAAGGAGTGAGAGTGAAAGAAGAAGACAGAGAAAGAGAGAATGAGAAAGAGAGAATGAGAAAGAGAGTGAGAGAAATAGAGAGAAAAAGAGAAAGACAGTGAGAGAAAGAGAGAGAAATAGAAAGAGAAAAAATAGAGAAAGGTAGAGAGAGAGAAAGCAAGAGAAATGGCGAGACAAAAAAGAGAAAGAAAGAGTGTGAGTGAAAGAGAAACAGATAGATAGAAAGTGTGAGAGAGAGAGAGAGAGAGTGAGAGAGCAATGAAAGAATAGGATGACCGAAGATGGCAATTAACAGTGAATTTGATTTTTGAAGATCGTATCTGAGAGGAGGGGAAGTTGAGAAGTCCGAGAGAAGAAAAGGTTAGAGTAGAACATACGGTTATGTCTAGGAAAGCTCTCCAGAACAATTGTCAAGAAAATATTTATAAAGGCACAGGTATATTGCGATAACGCCGGGGAAAAATGACTTAAGCTTAGATGCCAGGTCAGAACCAATAACATTGCACATTCTATTTTTTTAAATTTTATTAAGAATCTTTAAACACATAGCAGAGGTATCACACGAGATATGATAGCAATATTCAATGTATGAATGAATGGTAGAATTATAAATGTGTAAAATAGCTTCTGACAGGCACGACACAGTTAACCAAATTCCCTTGCAGAAGACCGAGGAATTGATTAAAAATAAATTTTCCAAATCATGTTAATGGAAAGCGTTAGATCGACAAAGTGTAATGGCGGGTAGGAAAACTTAGGAAGAAAAACGAGGAAAAAGTTTTAAGTATAAGATATTACAGACATTCTCCCAACAAAAATCCCAAAGACAACAAAGAAAAAAAGAAAGAAAGATAGAAAAAGAAACAAAAAGAAAGAGAAAGAAATGAAAGAAAGAGTGAAAATTGAATGAGAGAAAAAAGAACAAAGGAAAGAAAGACAGGAAAAGAAAGAAACAAAGAGTGACAATGAAAACGAGAAAAGGAAAAAAAGTAACAAAGAAAAAGAACAGAAATAAATAAAGAAAGAAAGAAAGAAAGAAAAGAGACAGAAAGAAAAAGAAAGAAAGGAAAAAGTTGAAAAGTGAAAGAACGAAATAAGAATAAGTAAGAGAAAAAGAAGAAATGGAAAAAAGGGTGAAAATTGAATGAGAGGAAAAGAAGGAAGGAAAGAAAGACAGAAAAAGAAAGAAACAATGAATGAAAATGAAAACGCGAAAAGGAAAAAAAATGACAAATAAAAAGGACAGAAATAAATAAAGACAGAAAGAAAAAGAAAGAACGAGACAGAAAGTAAAAGAAAGAAAGGAAAAGGTTGAAAACTGAAAGAATGAAATAAGAATAAGTAAGAGAAAAAGAAGAAAGGGTGGAACTTGAATGATAGGAAAAAGAAAGACGGAAAGAAAGACAGAGAAAGAAAGAAAGAATGAGTGAAAATGAAGACGAGAAAAGGAAAAAGCTGACAGAAAGAAAAAAGACAGAAATAAAGAAAAAAAAGAAAGAAAGAATGAATGAAAGAAAGAACGAAAAAAGAAAAAAAGGTGAAAATATGAAGATGGAAAGACTGTTAAGATGTGATATCTTAGAGAAAGAAAGAAAGGAAGAAAGAAAGAAAGAAAGAAAGAAAGAAAAAAGAAAAGAGAACGAAAGAAATAGAAAGAGTGAAAAGGGAAAGAAAAAAAAGAAAAAGACGAAAAGGAAGAAAATAAAGAAAAACGTAATGACAAAAAAAAAGAAAGAAAGAGAGAATGGGAGAAGAAAAGACAAAGAATAAAAAATACAGTGAAATATAAAATAAAAGAAGTGATGATGAAAGAAAGAGAGACAGAAAACGTGAAAAATTAAAAAGGAAAGAGGGAAAAGTTGATGAAAAGAAAAGAAAGAAAGAAAAAAGAATGTATGAAAAAATAAACGGTGAAAATATGAGAAGAAAAGATGAAGCGTCAAATGTGAAGGAAAGACTGAAAATGGAAAAGAGGATGAAAGAAAGAAAAAGTGTTAAACTCAAAGAAGGAGAAAGCAAACAAATAAAGAAAATGGTAAAGGCAAAAAAAGAAGAAAGAAAAGAGAAGAAAATGCAAACGAAAGAAGAAAGAAAGAAAGAAAAAAAGAAAGAAAGAAAGAAAGAAACAGAATGAAAATGAAAGAAACAAAAAGAATAAGAAAGAGAAACGTTTAGAAAAAAAGAAAGAATAAGTGAAAAATGATGAGAAGAAATAGGGAAAAGCTGATAGAAAGGAAAAAAAAAAGAATGACAAAGAGTAAAATGTGAAAGAAAGAAAGAAAGAAAGAAAGAAAGAAAGAAAGAAAGAAAGAAAGAAAGAAATAGTGGATGGAAAAAAGAAAAAAGAGTGAAAGTGAAAGAAAGAGTAAAGAAAACAGACAGAGGGGTGAGAAGAAAAAATAAAGAACAAAAATGATTAAGGCAAAAACTGAGAAAAAGTTAAAAAAAAGAAAAAACAAAGAAAGAATGAAAGAAAGGAAAAAAGAAAGAAAGAAAATAAAGAAAAAATAAACCGTGAGAAAGAGAGGACATATTGAATAAACTGTGAAAGTGAAAGAGAGAAAAGGACATAGTAAATAAACTATGAGAAAGCGGGATAAAAGGACATTGAATAAACTATGGGAGGCAGAGAGAGAGGCAGAGAGAGAGAGAGAGAGAAAAGAAAAAAGAAAAAAGTAGTTAATAAAATATGAGAGAAAGAGAGAAAGTTACATGGTAATTAAATTATGGGAAAGAGAGAAAAAGAGAAAGAGAGAGAAAAGAACATAGTGACTAAACTATAAGTGACAGAAAGAGAGAAAAAGACAGAAAAAAACTATGCGAGTGAGAGAGAAAAAACAGTGAATAAACTAAGAGAGAGAGAGGAAGAGAAAGAGAGAAAAGGAGATAGTGAACAAACTATGAGGGAGAGAGAAGGACATAATGAATAAACTATGAGAGAGAAAGAGAAAGACAAAGACATAGTGAATAAAGTATGAGTGAGCGAGTGTAAAAGATAGAGAAAAGGACATAAAATATAAGAGAGATAAAGCAAGAAAAGGACACAGTGAATAAATTATAAAGGAGAGAGAGACAGAGAGAAAGGAAATAGTGAGTAAAATACGTGAGTGAGAGAGAAAGATCTAGAAAAGGACTTTCAATAAACTATGAGAGAGGGAAAAGGAGATGGTGATTAAACTACGAAGGAGAGGGAAACCGAGAAAAGGACATAGTGAATAAACTATGAGAGAGAGAGAGAGAGAGAGAGAGAGAAGGACATACTAAATAAACTATAAAGGAGAGAGAGAGACAGAGAGAAAGGAAATAGTGGGTAAAATACGTGAGTGAGAGAGAAAGATCTAGAAAAGGACTTTCAATAAACTATGAGAGAAGGAAAAGAAGATGGTGATTAAACTACGAAGGAGAGGGAAACTGAGAAAAAAGACATAGTGAATAAACTATGAGAGAGAGAGAGAGAGAGAGAGAGAGAAGGACATACCAAAAAAAACTATAAAGGAAGAGAGAGAGAGACAGAGAGAAAGGAAATAGTGGGTAAAATACGTGAGTGAGAGAGAAAGAGCTAGAAAAGGACTTTCAATAAACTATGAGAGAGGGAAAAGGAGATGGTGATTAAACTACGAAGGAGAGAGAAACCGAGAAAAGGACATAGTAAATAAACTAATATGAGAAAGGGATAAAAGGACATTGAATAAAACTAAAGGAGGCAGAGAGAGAGGCAGAGAGAGAGAGAGAGAAAAAAAAGAAAAAGTAGTTAATAAAATATGAGAGAAAGAGAAAAGTTACATGGTAATTAAATTATGGGAAAGAGAGAAAAAGAGAAAGAGAGAGAAAAGAACATAGTGACTAAACTATAAGTGACAGAAAGAGAGAAAAAGACAGAAAAAACTATGAGAGAGAGAGAGAAAAAACAGTGAATAAACTAAAGAGAGAGAGAGGAAGAGAAAGAGAGAAAAGGAGATAGTGAACAAACTATGAGGGGAGAGAGAAGGACATAATGAATAAAACTTAGAGAAAGAGAAAGACAAAGACATAGTGAATAAAGTAAAGTAGTGAAAAGATAGAGAAAAGACATAAAAATAAGAGAGATAAAAGAAGAAAAGGACACAGGAATAAATTATAAAGGAGAAGGACATAGTGAATAAAAAGGATTATAAAGAGAGAGAGAGACAGAGAGAGAAAGAGAGAGAGAGAGAGAGAGAGAGGAGGACATATTAAAAGGAAGAGACTATAAAAAAGAGAGAGAGAGAAAGATCTAGAGAGAGAAAGGAAATAGAGGGGAGAAAAAGGAAATAGTGAATAAACGAGAGAGAGAGAGAGAGAGAGAGAATAAACTATAAAGGAGAGAGAGAGAGACAGAGAGAAAGGAAATAGGGTAAAATACGGAGTGAGAGAGAAAAGAGCTAGAAAAGGGGACTTTCAAAACTATGAGAGAGGGAAAAGGAGATGGTGATTAAACTACGAAGGAGAGAGAAACTGAGAAAAGGACATAGTGAATAAACTATGAGAGAGAGAGAGAGAGAGAGAGAGAAAAGGACATACTAAATAAACTATAAAGGAGAGAGAGAGAGAGAGAAAAGGAAATAGGAAAATACGTGAGTGAGAGAGAAAGAGCTAAAAAGGACTTCAATAAACTATGAGAGAGGGAAAAGGAGATGAGATAAACTAAAGGAGAGAGAAACTGAGAAAAGGGACAGAGAATAAACTAAAGAGAGAGAGAGAGAGAGAGAGAGAGAGAGAGAGAGAGAAGGACATATTAAATAAACTATAAAGGAGAGAGAGAGAGAGAGAGAAAAGGAAATAGGGGTAAAATACGTGGGAGTGAGAGAGAAAGAGCTAGAAAAAGGACTTTCAAAAACTATGAGAGAGGGAAAAGGAGATGGTGATTAAACTACGAAGGAGAGAGAAACCGAGAAAAGGACATAGTGAATAAACTATGAGAGAGAGAGAGAGAGAGAGAGAGAGAGAGAGAGAGAGAGAGATTAAATAAACTATAAAGGAGAAAGAGAGAGAGAGACAAAGGAAATAGGGGAGAAAAAAAATACGAGTGAGAGAGAAAGAGCTAGAAAAGGACTTTCAATAAACTAGAGAGAGAGAGGAAAAGTAAAATTAAAAGAGCTACGAAGGAGAGAGAGAACTGAGAAAAGGACATATAGTGAATAAACTGAATAAGAGAGAGAGAGAGAGAGAGAGAGAGAGAGAGAGAGAGAGAGATAGATGAAGGAGAAGGACTAAATAAACTATAAAGAGAGAGAGACAGAGAGAAAGGAAATAGTGGTAAAATACGAGTGAGAGAGAAAGAGCTAGAAAAGAGAAACTGAGAGAAAAAGGAGATGGTGAATAAACTATGAGAGAGAAAAACTGAGAAAAGGAGAATAAACCAGAGAGAGAGAGAGAGAGAGAAAGAGAGAGAGAGAGGACATATTAAATAAACTATAAAGGAGAGAGAGAGACAGAGAGAAAGGAAATAGTGGGTAAAATACGTGAGTGAGAGAGAAAGAGCTAGAAAAGGACTTTCAATAAACTATGAGAGAGGGAAAGGAGAAAAACTAGGAGAGAGAAACTGAGAAAAGGACATAGTGAATAAAACTATGAGAGAGAGAGAGAGAGAGAGAGAGAGAGAGAGAGAGAGAGAAAAGGACATATTAAATAAACTATAAAGGAGAGAGAGAAAGAGAAAGGAAATAGGGGTAAAATACGAGTGAGAGAAAAGAGCTAGAAAAGGACTTTTCAAATAAACTATGAGAGAGGGGAAAAGGAGATGATTAAACTACGAAGGAGAGGGAAAAACTGAGAAAAGGACATAGTGAATAAAAACTATGAGAGAGAGAGAGAGAGAGAGAGAGAGAGAGAGAGAGAGAGGACATATTAAATAAACTATAAAGGAGAGAGAGACAGAGAGAAAGGAAATAGGGTAAAATACGTGGGTGAGAGAGAAAGATCTAGAAAAGGACTCCCTCAATAAACCATGAGAGAGGGAAAAGAAGATGGATTAAACTACGAAGGAGAGGGAAACTGAGAAAAGGACATAGTGAATAAACCAGAGAGAGAGAGAGAGAGAGAGAGAGAGAGAGAGAGAGAAAAGGACATATTAAATAAACTATAAAGGAGAGAGAGAGACAGAGAAAGGAAAATGAGAAAATACGGTGAGAGAGAAAGATCTAGAAAAGGACTTTCAATAAACTATGAGAGAGGGGAAAGGAGATGGTGATTAAAACTACGAAGGAGAGAGAAAACTGAGAAAAGGACATAGTGAATAAACTATGAGAGAGAGAGAGGAGAGAGAGAGAGAGAGAGAAAAGGACATATTAAATAAACTATAAAGGAGAGAGAGAGACAGAGAGAAAGGAAATAGTGGGTAAAATACGTGAGTGAGAGAGAAAGAGCTAGAAAAGGACTTTCAATAAACTATGAGAGAGGGAAAAGGAGATGGTGATTAAACTACGAAGGAGAGAGAAACCGAGAAAAGGACATAGTGAATAAACTATGAGAGAGAGAGAGAGAGAGAGAGAGAGAGAGAGAGAGAGAGAGAGAGAAGGACATATTAAATAAACTATAAAGGAGAGAGAGAGACAGAGAGAAAGGAAATAGTGGGTAAAATACGTGAGTGAGAGAGAAAGAGCTAGAAAAGGACTTTCAATAAACTATGAGAGAGGGAAAAGGAGATGGTGATTAAACTGCGAAGGAGAGAGAAACCGAGAAAAGGACATAGTGAATAAACTATGAGAGAGAGAGAGAGAGAGAGAGAGAGAAAAAGGACATATTAAATAAACTATAAAGGAGAGAGAGAGACAGAGAAAATAGTGGGGTAAAATACGAAGTGAGAGAGAAAGAGCTAGAAAAGGACTTTCAATAAAACTATGAGAGAGGGAAAAGGAAATGGTGATTAAACCACGAAGGAGAGAGAAAACTGAGAAAAATGACATAGTGAATAAACTATGAGAGAGAGAGAGAGAGAGAGAGAGAGAGAGAGAGAGAGAGAGAAGGACATATTAAATAAACTATAAAGGAGAGAGAGAGACAGAGAGAAAGGAAATAGTGGGTAAAATACGTGAGTGAGAGAGAAAGAAAAAAGGACTTTCAAAGGAACTATGAGAGAGGGAAAAGGAGATGGTGATTAAAACTACGAAGGAGAGGGAAACTGAGAAAAGGACATAGTGAATTCATACTAAATAAACTATGGAGAGAGACACAGAGAAAAGGAAATAGTGATTAAAATACGAAGGAGAGAGAAAGAAAAAAGGACTGAGGGAAAAGGAGATAGTGATTAAACTATGAAGGAGAGAGAAAGAGAAAAGGACATAGTGAATAAACTATGAGAGAGAGAGAGAGAGAGAGAGAGAGAGAGAGAGAAATAAACATATAAATAAAACTATAAAGGAGAGAGAGAGACCGAGAGAAAGGAAATAGTGGGTAAAATACGTGAGTGAGAGAGAAAGAGCTAGAAAAGGACTTTCAATAAACTATGAGAGAGGGAAAAGGAAATGGTGATTAAACTACGAAGGAGAGAGAAACCGAGAAAAGGACATAGTGAATAAACTATGAGAGGGAGAGAGAGAGAGAGAGAGAGAGGGAGAGAGAGAGAGAGAAATGACATAGTGAATAAACTATGAGAGAGAGAGAGAGAGAGAGAGAGAAAGAGAAAATGAGAAAGGAGAATGGCAAAACAAAGATAGGAAGAAATGTTCGGCCTGAAGATAGTTAATGAAATATTATACACAAAGGCTTTAGAGATAATCAGATACTATACACAACAGAAGATATGGAATTATTTAGGTGGGGTCTGCGTGTGTGTATGTGTGGTGGGAGAAAGATAGAAACTATAAACAAAGTAACAAAGAGGGTAACAAAGAAGGTGAGGCATTACACATAATGTACCAATTATACACCAGAGATTGCAAACCAGAAAAAAAAGAAAAGAACGATTATGTGTGAGTTGCAGACAGGAAGCAAATAAGAGAGAAAACGAACAAGACGAAAGAGGCAGCGAGCGAGAGAGAGAGAATGAGAGAGAAAAATTGGGAGGTAAAGATAGACTTAGATGAAAGGCAGACAACGTTCCATCTCTATTATCCGCTATTATTTACGGGACACGTTGCTTCAAAGTGTAATCCGTCAATATAACATGTCCGAATTGGCGCCAACAGATATGACCTCTTTTTTTCCCGCCAACACAGCTTTGAAATGACAAGTCTTAAGAATGGCCGATGACAATACTTGGCAGTTCATGATGAGATGTTTCTAAATATAGCTGATTGCTAACCCCACAAAATATTAGTATATAAAATGGAACGCTCATATATATATATATATATATATATATATATATATATATATATATATATATATATATATGTGTATATAATTTTTTTAAAAGGAAAGTCTTGATTTTTATAATTATCCATTTTTCTTTTATTTTTCTTTGTTTCTTATATTAATATTATAATATTTACATTCTTATGCATTTATTTTATTTAATATATTATTAAAATCTTTTACAGTGTAACCTGGATATAAGAGACCCGGATATAAGAGAAACCCGGATATAAGAGAGATTTTCTGGTCCTTAAAGTGTTCTATATTTACCTAAACAAAATAGACCAAATCCGGATATAAGAGAAACCCGGATATAAGAGACTTCTTCTCCGGTCCCGACAACTCTCTTACATCCGGGTTACGCTGTATTTGTTTATTTTTAAGATAAGTTATGGCATACAACGATTTTTCTTTTAAAATAAGTGTTGTTTAGCAAGGGTAATTTATTAAGAATATCTCGCTAAGAGTTAACATAATGCATTTTATTTGTTTTATTTATGTAGTGGCATGAATAATTCTATATTTGAATCTATTTCAATTGAAACGTAATATTTCTCTGTTTTTACGATTTGTTTGTAATTTGCGAAACTGGAGGGAAGCTTTTCGTGTTGTAATGATTATTTTGTTTAACTTTCTTTGACTATTTGCTCAATTATCACTGGTTTATTTACATTTAAAGATTCTTTTAATAACATTTTGTGTGGTTTTTTTAAAATTCTTTTACACTTTCTTATTTATTAATTGTAAAGTAATGTATTTCAAATTTGTTGGAAAAGCGTTTTCAATTATAACCATTTGTTTCGCTTACTACTAGTCAATTTGTTTTTATTATTTATCTTTCAACTATTTAAAAATAGCAACAGTAATAATAACAACAACAACAACAATAATAATAATAATAATAATAATAATAATAATAATAATAATAATAATGGCACATAAGAACATCAACAATCCCTGTTGTAGTTGGAGCCCTAGGATTGGTTGGAAAAGATTCCAGTAGACTAATTGAAGGGATTCCTGGAAGCCCATGCCTCAAACAACTACAAAAATGTTCTCAGAAGTACAGCCCACACTTTTACGAAAGGCTTTATCTATGTAATATATATATATATATATATATATATATATATATATATATATATATATATATATATATATATATATATATATATATATTTTTGTGGAAAGTGTCATGATGCCATTTCTAACCTTAGGTCTCTAAGGGACCAGGAAAGAAATGTATACACGCCAGAAATCAAAGGAAATAATAATAATAATAATGATAATAATAATAATAACAATAATAATAATAATATATTCTAATATAATTAATAATAATTTTATATTTTATTTTATTATTATTATTTAAAAAATAGTTGCCTCTAAAAATTCATTTATCTAAGGTATACCTAAGGTTTAAATGTATTTTTCATAAACGAAACTTCAATTGAAAGCTAAAGAATTAAATAACGTGGAGTATTTCAAATAGAAATTTGAATGAATTTTAGTCGATTCTTCCGAAAAAACAAATCGAAACGGTCATTTTTTTTACTTTTTAGAGAAATTTAGACAAAACTTATTCTTTTCCTTTTTGAGAAACCCGCTAAAATCAAATATAAATTTCTGAAACGTTACTTTCATAAAATTAGCAAATTTAAAGTTAAATTAATCTGTTCTGAAACTAAAAATTGAAAAACGTTTTTTTTTTGTTTCTTATAATAATTTAAATTACTATAAAAATTTCTTACATTATTGGGTTACCCTCTTTCGTTATTTAATAGCTAGGATAATGATAAATAATCTTATTAATAATTAATATTACATAAGTTATTACATTTTTAATTTAATAACTGAGATAATATCTAGTAAAATCATTATTATATTAATAATTAAAATATCTCAGTTATTATTTTTTTTAAATTTTATTATCTCAATTTAATTTTTAATTTAATAACAGAGTGAGATAAGGCCTTCATATGCCAAGGGGCTTTCCCCAATAAGGAGAAAAGCCTTGAAACACGTGACCTTTTAACCAAAATGTCTCTTATGAGATATCATACTAAAAATGATATCACATTTTGACGTACAAATTAATTATGGTAAAATTTTTGGTTTCATTATTTGTATTAAGCTTTTAATTTTCGCTTAGTAAATATAGTCATCACTTAAAAACTTAATAACCTACCCCATACACTGTTTAGAAGAATTTTAAAACATTTTAATAAAAAAAACGAAAAGAAAAAAGCAAACGATTTTTGTAAAAATTCTTTATTCATCGAATTTTTTTTTCTTGAGATAATAATGTCCTTAATTTATATTATATATAAAAGCAACTTATCTCATTAGATAATTAGATTTTATTCTAGTTTTTATTTTACGAATTGGTGCAGATTTTTAAAAAGCTGGCAGTAGCTGTGAAAAAAATGATTAATTAATTTTTTCCGAGGAGACCTGCTTATAATTAATAATATAAAACAATTTGCGAACTGTTTGAAATTCTAGAAAAAATTCATGAAATTAAATTATAGGGGGTAACAGATGTAAAAAAAATATTTTTACCAAGATTTTCTAAAAATAATAATTTCAAAAATATATTCATTCACATTTGAAGAAATCCTGGAAGTTTCATAAAAGTCAGACAATTATTTGATTTTGGACAGAATTTTCCAAATTAATGGGTTTTTCCCCCTGAAACTGCTACATTAAAATGGCCATTACCACAAACTAGAAGGAAAAAAAAACAAATGAAAAAGATTTTTATCCAAATTTAGAACGTGTTAGAAAAAAGGAAAATATTTACAAAAATAATTAAAAAATAATTTGTTCTTTCCTCTTAATAATAACATACATATTTTGACGATCAAATGAAAAAAGATTTTTATCCAAATTTAGAACGTGTTAGAAAGAAGGAAAATATTTTCAAAAATAATTAAAAAATAATTTGTTCTTTCCTCTTAATAATAACATACACATTTTGACAATGAATTTTGTTTTTATTTTAGTTTTTCTTTGACATTTCGAACCTGCATCCTATACTGATCTTTTAGCGAATTATTGAGGTAATTTACTGCTTTTACTAAAAATATATTTAGCAATATATGGAAAATTGCACATTTGATGGAACTGTTTACTTCCTATATATATATATATATATATATATATATATATATATATATATATATATATATATATATATATACGTGAAAATATATAGAAAATAGGAAGGAACTGATTAGGTAAATAATCCAAAGACACTTAGTATCTTATGTCGCATATTTGAATCATATAAATAAATATATATATATATATATATATATATATATATATATATATATATATATAAAATAAGTATTTTTATGTAAAATGAAGCATTGGGTAGAAGTATTACATTTGTTGTCGCTGCACTTATTTTAATGATCGTCTTTTCCAAATTTCGAATAATATCAGAATATAGTTCAAGCTTTCGGCTTTCTTTAGTTAACATCAGAGTAGTTAGTGTTAAATGGTGATTTTCATAGTTCTACGAGAAGGATTATTTGTAATTTGGAATAGACGATCAATAAAATTAATCGGCACAAAATGTCTGTTGTCCTTAATAATAATAATAATAATAATAATAATAATAATAATAATAATATATATATATATATATATATATATATTTATTAAAGACATTTTTATGTTTAACGTTCTTTTTATAGATACAAGTATTTAAGTAAATGCTCTGTTTATAATAAACAGTATTAAATAACATTTACCGGCCTGAATGTCCGAGAAATTTTCATAGAAAATATTCGTCCTTTGAATATATATATATATCTCAAATATGTGGTTTTAGTTCAAGTTATATTGCATGAATCATTCATACAAAAAGTAGATTAATAAAGTTAATGATATAAATGCCGACAAACATCTTCGCAAACAAATTTATTAAAGTTACATTAACCTACGAACCTCTCGATGAATGTTATGATACTTGTTGTTAATAACTTCAAGTGGTATAAGGTCTGTTTTTATTCTGCTAGTACTTTCAGCTCTACATACAGCCATCCTCAGGCATGGAAATTATTTTGTTTTTTAGTAAATCCGGGTAGTAGCGGGACACGAAAATTAAATGCGAATCGAAATTATTCTGTTTATTGAAGAATTTAGTTCATGCCACATCGACTGAAAAACTCCTACAACAAAAAATTCTCAAACTACCATATTAGTAAAAAACGCACTCTCTTAAATTATCAAAAAATTCAAGCTTAGCGTTGCGACTGCACGCTCCAAAATTTCTTATCCGTTAACAATAACACATTTCTAAAAAAAAACATATTTCGTTTCGCATGTAATATATATATATATATATATATATATATATATATATATATATATATATATATATGAAATTTCTAAGGACATGATGATTTTTTTATTTATTAATCCGATAGATTTTATTATTTCTTTTTATTTAAAATATTCTTTTTATTTAAAATATATATATATATATATATATATATATATATATATATATATATTTGTTGTGGCGTATATATATACTCGGGTATATATATATATATATATATATATATATATATATATATATATATATATATATATATATGTAAGCAAATATATGGATATAGATCCGACAGTATGAAGAAAAATATACGAAAAAAAAAAAACAAAAAATCCTAATATGCAATTATACTGTATTAATGTTAATATAATGTCAACGTCGGACGTTTCGGTCTAATAAATGTTTAAACGGAACGCTGATCTTATAAAACTTTCAGTTATCTGTTTGGATAAGTCTTGTTCTTATGTACATCGTCTTTGTCATGTTGAATTGATAATGTTAATTATATTTTATGAATATGTCCTGAAGATGGTTTATTAGACCGAAACGTCCGACGTTGACATATTAACATTAAAGCAGCATAATTGCATATAAGGATTTTTGTTTGTTTTTTTCCGTATATTTTTCTTCATATATATATATATATATATATATATATATATATATATATATATATATGCGAATTTTTCTAAATAGATTTTTAATAATCCAACATATTTTTATCACTTTAAAAATGACTTTAGTTGATATTCGTATAACAGTATACAGAAATAAACAGTGTGTTTTAAGATCGCTCTAGTCGTGAAAATAGTATTAACGATGCAATGTTGATTCCTATATCAGCGCTGATTATAATTATGCGTACTTATATCTACACTATTTACATTATTCGGACTATTGTCCTCATCTTTGTCGCCATATTTATTACAACGTTTCGACCGTTGTACACTCTGCCCTTCTTGGTGGTTGGAATGTCGAACTGAACCCTTTATTTCGATCACTGAGGTAGAGGGTTCTACTTCCACGTGACATGTTTAATGGATGTCAATTATCAGTTATCTCCTGTTAATTTCTCTCTGAAAGTTTTCTCCACTGTCTTAACCAGGTATTGAACTCACACTCTTTGGGTCCTGTCACTGGATCTAACTAACGCCTTTATCCACTGTGCCAGGTGTCCTTGAGGAGCGTACGGCGGCCGAAACGTTGTAATAAATATGGCGACAAAGATGAGAACAATAGTCCGAATAATGTAAATAATGTAAAGAAGGTTTTGTTATGTATCTCGGCTTCAGACACTTTCTTGTCAACGTATTCTCATCAAATATTTACATGGCAACTGTTCTGATCGGCTTTTTTGCTTAGTGGCTTGACGGCATGAATTTAAAATTATGTGAACATTATTCAAAAACAATTATTTGAAAAACATTTATTCGAATCGTAAATGGTTTGAATGAAAATGAATCGTAAGGACAATTAGACTAAATGATAATTATTCGAAAAGCAAAATTCTTTATTGCAATAAAAATATCAGATATTAAAAGAGGAAATACACAAATGATAATTATTCGAAATGCAAATATCGTTAATAAAATTTTGAAAGAAAAAATTCTTAAAGCCTTACGTTAGATGATACCGCACGCGAAGGACACTTATACAGAATAATAATTATTCGAAATACCTATCTTTGAGAGAGAGAGAGAGAGAGAGAGAGAGAGAGAGAGAGAGAGAGAGAGAGAGAGAGAGAGAGAGAGAGAGGCAATGCTGATTTACCTAGAGCTAATAAAACAAAATAAAAGATAAGAAAAATTGTCAAATTCTCATGTTTAATATTCGGTCGGATTCAAAAAGAGCATTTGTGCCTCCACAACGGAATGGTGAAAATTTCGATTATGTGAACATTGTTCGGAAACAATTATTCGAAAAACTTTTATTCGAATTGTAAATTGTTTGAATGAAAATTAATCGAAAGGACAATTAGACTAAATCATAATTATTACGTATGTTGTCTTGTTTTAAAAGTATCAATGCTGATTTACCTAGAATTAATAACGCTCTTGAAGGATGGCACAGGGCTTTTTGGCAGAAAGCGTTATCCCATCACCCCACAATATGAAAATTCTTAGACACTCTTAAAAGAGAATATGACTTGCAAAAAATTCATATTGCAAAAGTAAGAGCAGGTTGCTAAAATATCAAGAGCGCCAAGAAATAATCGGAAACTTGGTGTAGGATATATAGGATGAATATATATATATATATATATATATATATATATATATATATATATATATATATATATATATATATATATAGAGAGAGAGAGAGAGAGAGAGATAATATTAATGGTAAATATACATACATATGCAAAATATATAAATACCCATACATATATATTTTCAGAAAAAAATTCCAAGAGGAAGAATCCATGTAGAACTCAATGTCCAGGACAGAGTAAGGATATAATAAAAAGGCTTAAACACTAATATTCCACGGTCATAATTTATTCCATTGGAATCGTAAGTACGATCCAATTCATCAGACCTACAAATTCAAAGGAAAACAGAAAAAAAAAACTCCGGAAATAAAAACAGAATTTAGAGAGAGTGTAAGTATGAGGGGGAGGGAGATTAAACCTTAACAGAGAGAATATTAGGGGAGGTGGGTGGAAGGGGTTTAAGTAAGAGAAAAAATGAATGTTGTCGGATGTATAAAGATACATTTCGTGGTGACATACACACACCATAGGCAATTTAATGTTAGAATAAAAATGATGAGATTTTTTATGTTTATACATTATTTTTCTTATAGATGCAAATATTATAAACAGAGCATTTACTTAAATATTTGTATTTATAAAAAAGAATATATAAACATAAAAATGGCTTAAAAAATTTGTCGGCCTTTGTCGATTTCATAATATATATATATATATATATATATATATATATAAGCGATGGCATGCGATATTTATGGAATCATGTACTCAATATCAGGGAGGGATAGAGTATATATAAATATAAAAGTGGACATTGAAGTCAACACCAAGCAGCGATAATCTGTTTCGGGCTTCAACGCAATCGTTAGGACTGATACATATAAAACACAATTTAAAAAAATATTACTTACACGTTTTTTTTTGTGGATACTCTAATTTGAGTAGACGTTCCGTTCATTTAATGAACAGTGTATTTATTTATTTTTATTTAGTGGCCTGAATATTAAAATGAAGATATGCTCCCTCCGGAACGATTCGAACCTGTCTCACCCTGCGCATATTTTTCTTTTATAAGATTTTTCATATATTTAGGCCGTGAATATAAATGTTGCTTAAAATTAAAGGAAACATCTACTCAAATATTAGACCAGGTTGATTTTCCACTGTTTTTAGAAAATCAAAATGGCACTCGATGAAAGAATCTGGTGTTTGCTGTACTAAGTACTAACATCAACAATTAGATTCATAGCTTTTACCTACTTTTGAGCATTTAGTTTTAAAACTTGCCTGATAGATATACAGTAATGCCTAATTTCCAGAGGTTGTTGTTTACAAAACTGACTTCAGAATCTTACTATTTCAAGAATAAATCCAAATAAAGTTTATATCTTTTGTATTAGATACATTAAGTGGAAAATACATTTATACCAAAATTCTAATTATGAATCACCACAAGATTATTTTTATCGTATTTGATAAGTAACAATTGTGTGAAAACTTTAAAAGATTAGCTACTCAGTTGATAAGATCTTACACCATATGTTAGGTCATAATTAATCAAAACAAAAAAAATAGATTAGTGTATATAACACCATAATACTGCTGAACATAAATTATTTGACAAAATGTTTTAGATTTACATTGTTAATTGAAAATCATACTAAAACTATTAGCTAAATGGTTCAAGTATATTTTTTTCCTTTGAAGTAAATGATTTGGCAATAATGCGCGTGGGTATTGCTTCTTTTCCATATATACAATTGGTAAAGCTACAGTAAATTATAAATTTTGCAAGTCTCTGATATAAGACTTTCACCGGAATGAAATTCTAGCGCTAGGATTTTGGACCTAAGTTTAATATTTAAACTATTTTCCTAAAAATCTGTAACGATTTGGAACACATTTTGTTTCACACTATGTCGCCCCGTAATGAGCTTTCTTTTACAATAAAAATAACCAATCATATAAAGTATAATTTTCAATGTGGCTACAAACCCCAGAAATGAGTTGGACATAGTAAATACCTAAAATATCTTATATATAAGCAGAAATAATGAATTTTTTGTCTGTGTGCAAATTTATTGGAAAATTTCCCCAAAAGATACACAATGCAAATATTCTGGACACGCATCAATAAACAGCATTCAACATTCAAGTCTGTACCATTTATTAGCAATAATCAGATGTTACTTGCATTATTTACATTATATGGACTGTTATCCTCATCTTCATTGCTATATTCACAACGTTTCGGCTGTTGTAGGCTCTTGCCTTCTTCAGGTGGTGGGGATTTCAAACCGAGCCCTTTATTTCGTCCACCGGGGTAGATTGTTCTAGTTCCACGTGCCATGCCTCTTTCGGATATCTTAGCCCCCCCCCCTTTAACTCAACTCTCTAAGTTTTGGTTTACCACTGCTGTGACCTGGTATTGAACTTACAACTCTTTGGGTCTAGTCATTGGATCTAACCAATGTCTTTATCCATAGTCAGCCGTTAAAAATAATTTAAAATAAAATGTAGGTAGAATCAAACCTTTTGAATGTAAGTGAATATAACCAGTCCAACTGGAATTGGAACTTGGCTCTCTGATTAACAATTCTGAGCCATTATCCATTATACCACCTGCACATCTAATCTCACCGCACCTGGTAATTCCCAAGCGGTCACCCATTTAGGTATAGACCAAGTTAAACGTTGCTTAACTTTGGCGATTGTACAGGGATTGGTGTTTCAGTGAAGTGTGGCCATAATACACCTGATGAAGGCTGGAGATTACAATGTCTGAAATATGATGATGAGAACAAAAATGAAGACAATTATTCATACGTAAATTATGTTGTAAAGTGCATTGTGATTAACAAAAACTTGTGTCTCGCTGTAAAGAAGGCGAGAGTCAGTTACTTATCCAGGTGTTCAATGTGCAATGGTCGACTGGGTGGGGACATACCTGTCTTTACAAGATTTATAAGGATCAGTTTCACATTATGTTCTCCTCCCGCCCATAATGAACTCTCTTTTCCAATAAAAACAACCAATTTGAAATCGTATAATTAAAGTCACGTGTAATGAACGCATAAACGCTATAAAACCTTTTTTAAAGAAAGGCATAATTTTCAATGTGGCTACAAACCCCAGAAACAAAATTTTACTATTTCAAGAATAAATCCAAATAAAGTTGATATATTTTGTATTAGATAAATTGAATGGAAAATATATTCAAACAAGAATTCTAATTGTGAATTAACACAAAATATGCATTTTTTTCTTACTGTATTCGATGAGAACAAACTGTATAAAAAATTGTGAAAGATGCCAAAAAAAAAAAAGGCTTCACAATGTGTAAGATTTATCAGATTATTTGTTAGATCATAATTAATAAAAACTGAAAATATAGATAGAAATGTATATTACATCAGCGATCGGCAACCTTTTGCAAACCAAATGCCGATTTGCTTGCGGTGATTCATAATCAGAATTCTGATTTGAATAAAAATTTCCCACTCAATATATCTAATTCAAAAGATATAAAATTTATTTGAATTTATTCTTGAAATAGTAAAATTCTGAAGTAAGTTTGTAAGCAACAACCTGCGGAATTTAGGCATTTCTGCATATCTATCACACAAGATTTAAACCTAAATGCTCAAATGTTGGTAAACTCTAGAAATGTTAAATCAATCAATGTGCCAACAGCATACGTATTTTTATTCAAGTCAAGGTCAATATACCTATTCTATATTTTATATAGTAATATATAGTTTATATACTTTAGTATATATTAAAATTGAAACAGCTAAATATCTTCTTTGCGTTGTAGTAGCTATTGGTTCAGACTTAATGATGTCAAGTGCGACTGGGTGCCATTGGAAATTGTTTAGCGTGCTATGTGTGGCACGCGTGCCATACGTTGCCGACTCCTGTGATACATAATATGACTGCTGGATACAAATTATAAGACATTTTTTTAAAAATTTGCATTGTTTATTGAAAATCACACCAACACTACTGCACTATATAACATATTACATCATAATATAGCTAAATACATCAGTATAATTTCCCTTTGAAGTAAATGAGGGTATTGTTTGATGGCACAGTGATTTAGTAATAATGTGCTTGTGCCATGCATCTTGTCTATTTATCGTTGTAAAGTTTCAGGAAATATCAGTATCTGTCTATATTTCTGAGATGAGGCATTATGTACACTATTTACATTATTCCAACCACCTGAAGAAGGCTGGAACACACAACGGCCGAAACGTTGTAATAAATATGGCGGCAAAGATGAGGACAATACTCCGAATAATGTAAATAATATATATAAAAACTCATCTCAGAAATACAGATAGATACTGAAGAAGGCCAGTGTGTACAACGGCCGAAACGTTGTAATAAATATGGCGACAAAGATTAGGACAATAGTCCGTATAATGTAAATAATGTACATAATACCTCATCTCAGAAATACAGACAGATACTGAAGAAGGCCGGAGCGTACAACGGCCGAAAGGTTGTAATAAATATGACGACAAAGATGAGGACAATAGTCCGAATAATGTAAATAATGTACATAATACCGCATCTCAGAAAGAGAGAGAGATACTGAAGAAGGCCAGAGTGTACAACGGCCGAAACGTTGTAATAAATATGGCGACAAAGATGAGGACAATAGACCGAATAATGTACATAATACTGCATCTCAAAAAGAGAGACAGATACTGAAGAAGACCAGAGTGTACAACGGCCGAAACGTTGTAATAAATATGGCGACAAAGATGAGGACAATAGTCCGAATAATGTAAATAATGTACATAATACCTCATCTCAGAAATACAGACAGATACTGAAGAAGGCCGGAGCGTACAACGACCGAAACTTTGTAATAAATATGGTGACAAAGATGAGAACAATAGTCCGAATAATGTAAATAATGTACATAATACCTCATCTTAGAAATATAGACAGATACTGAAGAAGGCCGGAGCGTACAACGGCCGAAACGTTGTAATAAACATGGCGACAAAGATGAGGACAATAGTCCGAATAATGTAAATAATGTACGTAATACCTCATCTCAAAAATATAGACAGATACTGAAGAAGGCCGGAGTGTACAACGGCTGAAACGTTGTAATAAATATGGTGACAAAGATTAGGACAATAGTCCGAATAATGTAAATAATGTATATAATACCTCATCTCTGAAATATAGACAGATACTGAAGACGACCGTAGCGTACAACGGCCGAAACGTTGTAATAAATATGGTGTCAAAGATGAGGAAAATTGTCCGAATAATGTAAATAGTCTTCAGGAAATTATAATAAATTTTATAAGTCTGTGCTGTGAGGCTTTCATTGATGGACGGAATGAAATTCCAACGCTACGATTCTGAACTTAATCATTAAACTCAGTTACTCAAAAAACGGTAACGATTGAGAAAAAATATTTTGTGTTGTCATTTATCCTATTAAACTCCAACTTTCAGACATAGTGCAATACCACGCTTCTAAAATCTACCTCAAATATGGGTATTCACTAAAAAAAAAACCGTTTAAATAATATCTATTATTTTTTTATTTATATGCATATAAAGAATGTAATAAAATCTCCCGGATTATTAAATAAAACTATTCATTACTTCTTGAAAGATATATATATATATATATATATATATATATATATATATATATATATATATATATATATATATATGAAGAAATATAGTCTTAAGATGTGCTATATTTATGTCACAAAGTGCTCAATATCAGAGATAGAGCGTGTGTAAATATAAAAGGGAACATTGAAGTCATCACGTAGAACAAACAGTCTGTTTCATGATAGATGCAATCGTCAGGCCCCGAGTGCTGTTATTTTTCTCGGCTATTTATATATATACGGGTCAGTGGTGCATTGTGGGTAGTCTATTTTGGCGGTTATTTTACCGGAAGATGTTTATTTGTTTATTTATTGGGGTTAAATTATTTTGCTTGTTTTTATTTTTTTTATTTTATTTTTTTATTTCTTATCTTATATATTTATTTATTTTAATTTTTTTAATCGGTGTTTTTATTAACGTAGTAAAAATTTGTTTATATCCTTTATCAGACTTTACTTCCAAAGGTTGAAATGAAAATTTCATTTCAACCTTTGGAAGTAAAGTCTGATGATCCAGAGCCCTTTAAAAGGGCTGTGGTGAAATAACGTATTACATGGAACCTTAAAGTGGTCTGTTTTTTATTCAAACATATTTGCTCTGAATTTACATTGAGCTCTCCGGATATCATCCTCCTTGGGTCTACCCATACGGATTACCTAGTTTTGCATAAACTATATATATATATATATATATATATATGTGTGTGTGTGTGTGTGTGTGTGTGTGTGTAGGTGCGTGTGGGTGCGTGATTGCTAGTTTGTTACTTACAAAGTTAATGAATGGGCGGTTTTGACGAGATTGTCATTGCGTCCGCCATTATGTAATTAGCGTAAGGTTTCAGTGAAGACATTTTATCCTCATTATCTCAGCACGAGATGTCGTCCTCGCCATTTTGCACTCACTATAAATGTGTCGCTTCTAATTTGGATAAAACTGGATTGACTGGTCAAGACGAGCCGTCGTCTCTAACTTCACCTTTCATACGCTTCACATCCCTAAGGTCCGCTAGGTGACCCAGATATTATGGAGTTACTGCCCTTGGCTTTAAAGAATCTTACACTCCAGTTGAAGCTGAAATTAATTTACTGCCCACCCAGAACTAGATTTACATATTGCCAAAAGCTTTTAAAGTAAATCAAGAGCTAAACTATTAACTATAAGAAGAGAGAATTTAAGGCTGTTAGTAAAAGAGACGGTTCAAGTTGCGAGTTACATATCGGGGATGGTAAAATCAAGCCGGAACAGAAATTTAACTAGACGCCGAGATGGTGGCACCCAAGGAAGAGTGTTACATTAAAGGGATGTTTACGTGGTAAGAAAGGAAGATAACGGCTAGCCCTAGACTTGAACAGGTTAAGCTTGTAGTGATCGGGGAAATATACTCTTGGATGTCGGGTCTACGGAACAGTGATTCGCGTGAAGGTTGTCTAGTGTAGCGAACAGTCCCGTAGGAGCAATCGATCCAGAGTGGCTTGTATCTGGTGCAACGGAAAAATAACCATCTTACCCCTAACGTGTGGTACGTGACATAGGTAATTTTGCTCCTTGAAAATAGCATTACTCTGCTGTCTAGCTATTGTTATTTATTATGTACCAGCAGCATGGCCCGGCGTTGCCCGTGCTTGATTCAAAAATCGTACGACTCATACAGCAAACGCTATGACTTGACTTAAAATATGTTTGCCCTTCCTTGCCTTTAAAGGAGTGCCCTTTGCCGTACTGATGTTGCTATATGCCTTACTTCTTGCCTATCTCACACTGCGAATTTTTCTAAGCTCTATACTAAACGTTAAATCTGTTACGAAAAAAGAACTAAACAAAATGAACACAAAACGATCAGCTTTAAAAAAGGACTCGTAACTGGAAAAACCGAATGAAAAAAGAATGTTAACAACAAATACTTTTTCACACGCAACCCAGTTCTGCGGAATCAGAATCAACGTTGAGTTTAAGCAAGCGAATGAGCCAATTGGAGTAAAGTGCCATGCAGATTTAAATTTTTCCCACTTGCCACGAATGCAGCTATCGATTTTTTTTACATGTTAGCATGCTAGTTAATATTCGTGTCAGTCAGCTGTTGGCTCTCAGGCTGGCCACTAGAATCTTCCTGCCTATTCGTAGCAGCCAGCTATAGGCACTCACTCTGGCCAGTACAAAATGGCCGCAAATTACATGAAAACTGCCGTAGAAGCATGAAAAAATCGATTATTTCTACTATCGATGGGAGTTGGGAAATGCAAAGTCGGTCTTGTCCTTACCGCTAACTCGGAGCATGTGCATGTAAATTTTGGTGCAAATCCGTCGAAAATTGCGGCTGTGCATTCGTTACGCACACACACACAGGCATCCTGCTTTTTATAGATAGAGATAAAAATATATAATTAGGGCACAAGGCCAAAAAGAGGAGGGGTTGAGACTGGTCAACACTATCTATCTTATACCTAGCTAATCTGATTTAATTAAGCAACGTCGAGCCTGCTCAGTACCTAGATGGGTGACCGCTTGGGAATAACAAGTGCTGTAAGCCTGGAATGTGAGGGTAGTGTAATGAGCTTGCAGCCACATCAGGTTGAAGCACCGTTTCCCGTACGATCACCGAAGCTGAGTTCTAATTCCCGTTCGTTTTTTTTTTTATATTTACTTACGTGTAAGTACCCCTAAGAAACGTTTGAATTCCCCCCACCCACTAACTATTATTTTCTCCATTAATATATAAATTGCGTCCAAAATATTTACATTTCACCATTGAATAACCCATAGTGGTGTTGATATGCCGCTAAACGAAATCATTGTCATGCTGGACCATTTTTCACGCTAGAATCTATTATATATATATGAATATATCCCGTAGAGGCCTGAAGAGCCGAAGCGAAACCGGTTGCTTCACTTTAAAAATGTAATGTAATATTAAGCTACACACTTTCATTTCTTTAATTAGATTTTGTACCTTTAAAAATATTTTCAAATATATATATATATATATATATATATATATATATGCGTATATTTTAGCAGCATGTTTTCATTGAGGCATATTTCGTTGAGTACTTTAGACAGATTCTGTCTATTTATTTTCAGTTTATTCACGGATAAGCTTTTTGATGTCCGTTATTGAATGGCGAGAGAAAATCGCTATGCTGATATATATGACTTTTTTTCCGAGTACTTTCGACATAGCTCAGTGTCATCATCAGAATATTGTTTATTACAAGATAAAGTTCATTATTGTTGAAGACAAAATTTTTGTGTTCACCTGAGAGGGAAATATATTAGGTGTGGAGTGAGGAATAAACAAAAGAATAAACATAAACCCAAAATTCTCGAAGATATCTACTTAAAAACAAAGGAACCTAAGCTTAATTTAATTAATTATGAATACTCCACAAATATTTTAAAATGTGTACAATAGATAGTTTGAATATAGTTTTTTTTATTACTAGTTATTTCGTAAAATCCCTCCACCACCATTCTTAGTTACCCTTAAACGGTGTCAGCAATCAGGCACTGACTCAGCGTTCCTATATATATATATATATGACGTCCCCAGCCCTGCTCATTCCTCGCTGCTTCGTTCCTCGCTGCTTCGTTCGGATGTCGCCGCTCCAAACGTGACGTCCGCCTGTCTGCGTCAGTCGTGCTATCCCGTCCTGTGACGACCAGCTGGCTTGGTATTGGTTGCGGCACCCAAATGTGACGTTCTAACCTTTTGGTGATTCGGATGGGAATCTTGTTAGATTCGGATCGGAATCTGGTTAGATTCGGTATCAGCCTCGTTGTTCCCAGCTCGCTTCCAACGTCTGGTTACCGCAGTAACTGCTTTGATTTCTAGTCTAACCAACCCACATTGTGAATTGATCTAGGCAGACGAAATCAATCAGTCGCTGGGCCGTACTGCAAGCTGAGTTCGAATAGGGGTGATATCGCACAAGTATGTGTAAAAGAAAATAAAATAATAACTCAAAAAGTTCAAAGGTATCAAAAAAAGGATAACAATACTTTATATCTGGTTGCTGGATACATAGGACTGCGTCAATCTCCCGACCCGCTATATGAATTCGTGACACGTTGTTTTTGTTAGGCGAGTCTTAACATCTTAAGTTGTCTGTTCTTTAAGAAACTAGTTCTTGGTGTGTCTTCAGGCGATAGTCGTAAAACTTGTTTTGGTGGTATGAGTCGCTCTTCAAAAATAAATTGTTCTTGGATTGAAGATGAGTTCGGAATTGCGTGAATCTTTCAAGTCAGCTATCTGCGTGGTGGGTCTTCAGAGCACTCAACTTAACTCGAACTCACTGGGAACTCAACTGAACTGAACTGATTTTCGCTCGCTGCGACTTTGCTTATATGGACGCCGACCAAAACCGGGGTGGGCTTTGTCGGCGTTTGAGGTTCCCTGATAATTCCAAATCCACAATCCCCTTCTTTTGTTTTCGGTCAGGAAAAAATTATTATTTCCATTTTTGGAAGTCTTCTCTTACCCCCACCTTCTTTCGTTCTCATATGGGTCTCTTACCATATCCTCAGAGGGCGTCAACGGTCTTCCTACTCCCTCGCAGTAACATCTCATCCTATCCCCTTAATGGGTGGTGGCAGGCCTCCCCCCTGCATCACATGATCCCCTCCGCCTGGCTCTCGTTAACATTCAACCAATGGGCGATCAACAGTGTGGGTGTGACCAGACTAGCCTTGTTTTTTAAAAAAAAATATATATCCTGCTCAAAGAAAAAAAATTATCCCCTCTTTTTCTTTTTTCTATTTCCTTTCTTTCTTTTCTTTTCTCTCTTCTTCTCTGGCCGCCAACAGAACAATACGACCCGTAGTGTGATAACCTCAATTCTTATCCCAAAGTCACTTTCATCTGAACTTCGTCAACCAGGTTTTCGCCAATTATCAAGTGGGTGGTCATCTAGCGAAACACAGCCAAATTTTCGTCCCGATAAGGTAGTTTCGCTATCCTAGCCGTATTTGCACTCTTGGTGCCGGTTTCTGATAAAATAGTTTCGCTGTCACCGTTAGATTCCAATACAACGCAGATGTCTTTTCTCTCAATGACACCCTTTCATCGTCAAATACTTAACCTAAGTTTGGGTTCTCTCTGTGTGTGGTCAGGACCTTCTTATTAAATTTTTAGCTCTTTAGAATTCTGTGGAAGCCCCAAATGGCATTCCCGTGACACAGTTAAATGTTTATCTATTCTGTCCCGGAGGTTAGCTAGCCGATCTGGAATTCGTCAATTAGCTTTTCGCTAGCACCAAGTGGCTGGTCCAAACAGACGCATTCACTTCTCGGTGCCAACCACTGATACGATGGAACGACTTCGCCATTTTTCTGATAATATAAGTTCGCCACCACGACACAGTTATTTTTTATCTATCTAGAATTCTCGATAATGACAATGAAACCCTTCACCATTTTTCATTATCAAAATAACAACGCTAAATGTCCCTTTTGTGATGGCTTTCCTTTATCATCTAAGTTTTTTTTTAACTTTCGCCTCTCTTTTTCTTTCCCTTCTTTTCTTCCTTTTCCTTGCAGCCCTAAATGGTGTCACATATATATATATATATATATATATATATATATATATAAAGATAAAGAAAAGACTGATTAAGGATCCGCGGTTGTTAGCATTTTTTTAAGTGCTCAATACAAAGTAGAGCGAAATATTATTATCATATTTTACATCGCCATGTCCATCGTCAGGCGATGTTAGATAAGTTATGATGAAAATGATTTACTTGAGAAATCAGAAAACAAATCGGCAGCTGGGGGTTAAAAAGTTGGGGAGCGAACCAAACATCCAACATAAAAAAAAAAAAAAAAAAAAATGTGGGCATATCTTGGTTAACCAATCAAAACACGGATCAATTCAAATATAATAAAATGGAAAAATGTGGTCAAAACTTGTGGGAGTTATTTCCTCAAGTCTAGATCAAATGAAACTTTTTACTCCCAAATTACATACCGATTTTGTTTTTCGATTTGCCAAGTAAAACATTTTCATCATAAGATATCTAACATCACTTGACGAGTGACAAATTTTCTATGTTCCGAAACACGGAAATTTTTGTGTAGTGATGTAAAATATTGAGATAAATATATAATAATAATAATAACAATAATAATAATAATATATATATATATATGTATATATATATATATATATGAGTAAAGTAAAGTCTCGCTGTCGACATACGAGATTGAACATAGATCTCCAGAGATTAAACACGGGCGATCCCATATAAAATAAGTAGGATCATGTGACCATAGAGGAAATGTATATATGGGAATTAGCGTGATGTCTAAGCTATCACCATTTCTACACTATACTCTATTACTACACGGATCACTATTTTCTATCCAATTCACTATAATATTTCTCTATACTGATCACTACACGGATTACTATTCAGTGGTTAATTTTCGACCGCGTATTATCAAGTACTATTAGTGCGAGTGTTATTCGAAGGCGTCTGACACCAGTATTGTTCAACGGCGTTACTATAGTCTCTACTACAACGAGCATTACAAAAGTGACAACGAGTATTTGTTGATATTACACAATATATATATATATATATAAACAAAAAAAGAAAAACTTCTTCTCACTAATAAATTAGATTGCATCGCCTTTTGTTTTATGTAATAGATTCTGGAAGTTTTTCCTCTGTTTTTTACGGCTTATCAACCTTTTGTAGGTTGTTTAAAGCCGAAAAATATTTTTGGTGTGGTAAGAATAATTCTTCTTTTCCTTTTGTGAGTGAATATTGTATTAACAATTTCTTGGAGTTAACGATTATCCGATTCAAATGTTAGCATTTAACCGATAGCTATTTGGAGAAGATGTGGATTCATAGCTTTCCCAAGTGCATCCGCGCGAAAGTGAATATAATAAACTCGACTGAATTTCGAACTCAGCTCTCCGATTTCCAGTTCCTAGGCGTTATCACGTACACAGCCAGCACATCTAAGCTTACAGCACCTGATATTCCCAAGCAGTTACCCATCTAGGTACTGACTGGGCATGACGTTTGACGTTGCTTAACTTCGGTGATCGGACTAGTATCGGTGTTTAAACTTGGTATGGCTATAAGCCCTTTTCCCCTTTAATTCTTTATCTTCATTTGCATTATTTTTTTTTTTTTTTTTTTGGGATGACGTTTCGAACGATGATCTCAAACCTTCTTCCGGCTCGTAAAGAAGTCTTGTCTGTATATCGTTACGGTGATAAATAACTTATTCGTACAATGCTGACTGGAGCTACGTCAGACTCTAACTCGTCAAATGTGTTTTAACTGAATGAACCTCTGATTAGAGCCGTGAAAACAATAATAAAAATATATTCTTATAATTCAGATATCAAAGGAATGCTTATTTTGTCGGTTTTTATTTGTTGTAAAGCAGCCTTGAATCTGACTTACTGTCTATTGTGCACTGAACCGTAAATGTTGGATTGTGGATTAACAGCGGGACGACCTAGACAAGGCCAGCAACTCCGGCCTGATATTTCACCTCGAGCAACTAAGCTATTAATTTCAACTGATATAAATAAAACCAGTTTTAGTGAAATCTATATATCACTCAGTATTCTACTTACCTAAAAAAAAAAAAAGTGTTTGTTGATTAGAATAATGAGTGACTAATTAAGAAGCAGGGTGGATTTTGTAAATCGTTTTGTGATATTTCGTACCATCCTCACAAAACGATGAACTTGTAAACGTTAATTTTCAGTCACTCCTCTTTAGATCAATTGTTAATATATGATTACAGCGAGTGGAGTCTTATGATTTTGACAAAGATGGTCCTTATTTGAACATTGTCAGCTGGCGCTACATATTCACAAAAGAATAATTAGATTAATCGATTTGTTTTTTACGGCTTATCAACCTTTAACATCTTCTATCTATATCTCAGATGTGTTATGATTACTTGGATTATTTAGATTATTCGGACTGTTATCCTCGTCTTCATTGCCATATTCATAACGTCTCGGCTGTAGTACGCCCCGGCCTTCTTCAGGTGATTGGATCTCTCAGATGAGGTATTATTACATGAATTATTTGCATTATTCGGACTGTTATCCTCAATTTCATTGTCATATTCACAACGTTATGGCCGTTGTACACCCCGGCCTTCTTCAGGTGATTGTTCTCTGAGATGAGGTATTATGATTACTGTAATTATTTACATTATTTGGACTGTTATCCTCATCTTCATTGCCATATTCACAACGTTTCGGTCGTTGTACGCTCCGGCTTTCTTCAGTTGATTAGAATTTTTCTTCAGTATCTGTCGATATCTCTGAGATGAGGTATTATGATTATTTGCATTATTTACACTCTTCGGACTGTTATCCTCAACTTCATTGTCATATTCACAACGTTAAGGCCGTTGTACGCTCCGACCTTCATCAGGGGATTAGATCTCTGAGGTGAGGTATTATGATTACTTGCATTATTTACATTATTCGGACTGTTATCCTCAATTTCTTTGCCATATTCACAACGTTACGGCCATTGTACGCTCCGACTTTCTTCAGGTGATTGGAATTTCGAATCGAACCCTGTATTTCGTCCACCAACCACTCTACCCCGGTGGAAGAAATAAAGTGTTTGGTTCGAAATTCCAATCACCTGAAGAATGCCGGATCGTTCAACGGCTGAAAAGTTGTGAATATGGCTTTAACGGCTTATTTAAAAACCATAAAATATTTTTTGGATTGTATGAATTTTTGGAGATAAGAATGATTTACTGACACACGTCTTACACCATAGTTGGTGGGTAAGAGAGAAAAAGTGAATAAATACCTTTCGAATAAATAACTTGTCCGTAAGTGAATATAAAAAAAAAACGACTGTAATAAGGGACAGAACTAAAGAAGTACCTTATAAACAGTGTCCCCCTAGACGGGACTACGATCAAATAAGAATACAAAGATTACTTACATTGTTCCGACTGTTATCCTTATCTTTATTACCATATTCATGACGTTCGGCTGTTGAACGATCCGGCCTTCTTCAGATGATTAGAATTTTGAGCTAAACCCTTTATTTCGTCCACCCGGGAAGATTGTTCTATTTCCACGTGCCGGATGTCTCAGTAATCGCCCTTTAACTCAACTCACTAAGTTTTCATTCACCAGGTATTAAACTCAGAACTCTTTGTGGCAAGTCAGGTGACTGGATACAACAAACGCTTTTATCCGCTGGGTCATGTGTCCTAGACGACATTCGTGTATGAATTTTTAGGACGTATGAACTTAATATCTCAGTACTCATTTTTTTTTATTTACCAGAACTCATATTGCAATTGTTGTTATTAATATTGGTTTTCTCTAGCACTTCGTATTACTGGTTTCTATATTGTATTCATTTCTATGCCTGGCCAGCTTAGGAGATTTTTGTGGCATAGCATATGTGCTGATTCCTTAAGGTTTCGTATCTTCCAGTAATGTTCTCTGTTTATTATTTCAACCTAAGTTTAAACACTACATTGGGCGGTGTTCTTCCTCCGTATATGGTCAGCTAAGAGGGGCCTACAACAGCCGAAACGTCGTGAATATGACAATAAAGACGAGAACAATCGCCCGAACAATGCAAATAGTTTAAATAATTACAATACCTCACCTCAGGAATATAGACAGGTATTGAAGAATACAAGCAAAGAGGATATATATATATATATATATATATATATATATATATATATATATAAAAAGAGAGAGAGAGAGGGAGTAGCCTAACCCTAACTCCTGCTGATGACACCGACTATGGAAATCGGCTCTCCGATTACCGATTCCGAGACTGTATCAATTATACCATCTGTACATCCAAGCTTAAAACACCTAGAATTCCCAAGTGGTCACCCATCTAAATACTGACCAGACTCGACTTTCCTTGTTTTAACGTCAAATTACTTGAGGACTACCAATAGCAGCAACAACTAAAATGGATAGCACGCCTAACATAAAGAGAAAATAATGGCATAATGAAGATGTTGATATTCCGCAGTACTTCAAATTGTGTTAGTGGCTTTATTGCCTTGCTTGGAGAGAAACGATTAAAATTTAAATGTCATGTCAATCGTTATCTTATGTCTTCTTAATTCCTCTTCTTTTATTGTATTGTCTCTTTAATAATCTTTTTTTTCTCTTATTCTTTTACACTCAGTAATCCCTTTGCGTCTTAGTGGCTTTATTGCCTTGCTTGGAGAGACACGATTAAAATTTAAATGCAATGCCAATCGTCATCTTCCATTTACTTAATTCTTGTTCTTTTATTGTCCTCTCTCTTTAATGTTCTTATATTCTTTCACACTCAGTGACCTCCCTTTGAGTCTTAGTGGCTTTATTGCCTTGCTTGGAGAGAAAAGATCAAAATTTAAATGCAGTGCCAATAGTTACTTTCTGTTTTTGTTCTTTCATTGTTCTTTCACCTTAATAATGTTTTCTTTTACTCATACTATCTCACAACCAGTAACTTCTTGCGTCTTAGTGGCTTTACTTCCTTGCTTGGTGTGAAATGCATTAAAAAAGAACAAGAAAAATATTTTCGTGTTGCCTGCACGGATTATATAACCTTAACCATAACCCTAACCCAACCCTAACCCTTACACTACCCTAACCCTAACCAAACTCTAACCCAACTATAACCCAACCCTAAACCTTATACTACCCTAACCCTAATCAAACCCTAACAAACTATAACCCAACCCTAAAACTTACATTACCCTAACCCTAACCAAACCGTAACGCTAACCCAACCCTAGCCCTAACTCTGGTGTCCGCTTGTGTTAATGTCTAGTATTCGTTGTAATCAAGTAAAGAAAAGTAAGCGAAACCTAATGGATATCCAAGCAGCAATCGAGAATGACAGCTATTGGATGTGGCTTGAAAGAAATGATGAAATTTGGCTAGAAAAACGGTCGCCGAAAGAATCCGAAATTGTCGACAGGCAGTAAACCGGATGAAACAGGTAGGAGGGGTACCTTATGGGGGGGTGAATTTATGCGCAGTAAAATCCGTCAAGATTCAAACCCCTAAAATGTATGCCGGAAAGATAACGGCTTACCCTTGATTTGAAGAGATCAAGATTTTAAGTATTAGGAAAACATCCTAGCGGGAGTCTCTTCCACAAAGCAGTAGGTCTTGGAAAGAAGCTGTCTGAATGGAACTTACTCCTTATTAATGGAATACAACGGGAACGAGGATGATGTGTACGTGAGATGGCGGTAGTATAGTATTAATCGTACTATATGACAACGAATGACGGATAATCTCCCCACAGATGAAGAAGAAACTTGTAGCAACAGAAATGTGATTCTACAGTAGGATAATGAGGATACCGTCGAATAAACATGCGAGCAAGTTCTAGAGACAACGGCAAACAAAAAGGACACTTTTACTTAACATCAAGAAGAGACAGTTGAAATTTTGACGCGCATAATTAAGAAAGAGGGCTCGGAAAATCTGATACTCACAAATCTATATTGACAGCAAGAGAGACAGGGAAAAAACGTATAGCCTACCTAGCGAACTTTAGTAAATGGATGGCGGATCAAGATTTTAGATAACAAAAAGATAAAAATTAATAAAAGCTACCATGAACAGGAGCCATGACCACCAACTTCCTAGATGCTAGAGAATTCACTTTATCCCCTTTAATAGGGGAGAATAGACGGGGTCATACGTTTACCAAGGATCAGAGAAGGATTATCCTTTCGTCGAGTACAGGCTGCAGCCTAAAGCTTCTCACTCTTTTATAAAGTAGTGATTTTAATTTTCTAGATATTATATTCTAAATAGTTTCATAAACTAAAATGACATCAACATGACAAACTTATATTTATTTGACTTTACAAGAATCAAAGAATATTTTAGTCTATGTCATTATGCTTCAAGTAGATAACATGTTTGATTTTAGTTCAGAATGTTCATATCTTACAAGTTGTTATAAAGCAGTTATTTTACTTTTCTAGTTATTATAACTTCTAAATAGTTCCATAAACTGAAATTATATTAACATGACAAACTTATTTATTTGGATTTACAGAAATCGAAGCGCGGTAAAGAATATTTTAGTATGTGTCACTGTGTTTCAAGTAGATAACAGGTTTGATTTTAGTTCACAATGTTTAAATTTCGAAGTTTTTATAAAGCAGTCATTTTAATTTTCTAGATGTCATGAATTCTAAATAGTTTCATAAAATGAGATATCAACGTGACAATCTCATATTTATTTTGATTGTTTAATTTCTATACTAATGGTTTTAATAAATCCGTTTTATTTTTTATTACGGTTGCGTTGAAATATGTGGCAATTTCGTTTGCAATAAAAAGTAAAATAGTCGTATTTCATGAAGAATACTTTGTTGACAAACAAACGCTAGCTATTCTAGTTTATTTAAAGAATTTGCTATAAGTTTTCTTCAAGTGATGTAAATGTCGTTAAATTATATCACGAGTAAGAAATATTCAAGACAAGTGCAGTCGAGTTAGTGGGTGGCTTCGTCTGTAGAGAGAGGTCATATTTTCATTCGCCTAGGGGGCCCCAAAAAGTCATGCTCAGGCTCTGGATATCTCTAGGATTTAATAACAGCCACATTGACCTATTTAATCGGTCAACTGAACGGAACTGATGCATGCTAACAAGCATTAATTTTTTCGTGGATTTTTTCAAACATTTAAATTACTATCAAACGTTAAAATCTGTTTTTTATCAAAACAGCTAAAACTATACCACCCCTCTTCTTCCTCCGTAAACCCTAAATCTCCTTTCTCTTTACTTGCCCCTTTTTCTTTATCTTTTTCTCTTTTCTCTCCTTCCCTTTCAATATATCACTAGGTCAATGTCTGATCCTTACCCCCTCCTTCCTCAATATTAAGTATGATAGAAAGAAATATAAAAATAAACCTCTTTAAACTCGACCATGTCTCTCACACCACTCCTCGCTACCTTCTCTGTTAAATTACATAAACTTAATACTGCCCATCAAAAGTGTAAATTTTCATTTCATTTTTCGTTTCACCGTTTGAAAGTTATGTCTGAAGATCCAGAATACTTTTAAAGGTCTCTGGTGAAATAAACTATTACAATGGAGCCTTAAAGTGGTCTGTTTTTCTTTATATATATATATATATATATATATATATATATATATATATGGATTATTCTATAGACTGAAGGAGGCAAGGGGGAAGTAAGGGATAGTGGCTCGAATTGAGAAATCGGAGAGCCGAGTTCGAATTCCATGGCATTCAAATTTCTAATCCTCTTCTTCTCCCCCCCCCAGCTATGGGAAAATAGCAGAACAGACCGCGATCTATAGCCTTGGATAGCGACTGGACTACTGCAGAAAGAAATGGCAACCTACTGCGGGAGAAATCTATCGCCTAATCGTGTTTCACGCATGGAACATAACTGATCGGCTAAAGCCGATTGCCCCCTCAAGCCTTTATAAAATAACGTTTTTTTTTTATCTAGATGTTCCAAATAGCTTCATAAACTGAATAGATATCACGATGGCAAACTTATATTTATTTGACTTTGCAGGAAGCAAAGCAAGAAAAGGATGTTTTAGTTTGTGTCAATGTTTTTCAAGTACATGTTTAATAATAGTTCAGAATGATTAAGCCTTAGAAATGTTTATAAAACAGTGACTTTAATTTTCTAGATGTTATAACTTCTAAATAGTTTCATAAACTGAAGTGATAACAGTATCTGTCTATATTTCGACATTCCAACCACCTGAAGGGGTTATCAGAGAAAATACAAAGGATTTGCGGTCCATATAAAATCAGGACAACCTTCAAAAGCTTGACGACACTTCGGAGATATCTCTCCCGAGTAAGACCCCCCATAGAGGAGAACATGACTAAAGACTATGTGTATGCTATCCCGTGCAGCTGCGGAAAGGAATATAAAGGAGAGACAGGCCGCCCCCTCAAGGTAAGGCTTCAAGAACAACAGAAAGCTGTAATACAAGGGGAAGTAGAAAAATCAGTCGTGGCTGACCACATATGGAGAGAGAAGGGAGATCACTGCCCTTCTGTGGGATCACGTTGAGATCATAGACAAGGAACAATATTGGAAAATTCGTAAACTTAAGGAATCAGCACATATGCTAGGCCACAAAAATCTCGTGAGCCGACCAAGCATAGAAATAAATACAATATGCGAACCAGTAATAAGGAGTGCCAGAGAAAAGCAATGATAACAACCAAGTTGCAATATGAGCTCTGGTAAAAACATGAATGATAACAGCAGAATTGCAATATGAGCACTGGTAAAAAATGGTTGCTGGAGACATTAGGTTTATAATACCCAGAAATTCATGCCCAAAGACACATGGCACAGTGGATAAAGGCGTTGGTTAGATACAGTGACAGGACTCAAAGAGTGCGAGTTCAATACCCGGTTAAGGCAGTGGAGAAATTTCAGAAGGGAATTAACAGGAGATAACTGATCCAACAAACATAGCACGTGGAACTAGAACAGTCTACCCCAGTGAGCGAAATAAAGGGTTCAGTTCGACATTCCAACCACCTGAAGAAGGCCGGAGCGTACAATGGCCGAAGCGTTGTGATAAATATGGCGACAAAGATGAGGACAATAGTCCGAATAATGTAAATAATGTACAAAGAATCGCTATTCTAGTCTATTTAACGAATTTACAATAAGTTTATTTCAAGCTATATAAGTGAATATTAAAATATATTACTAGTAAGAAATATTCAGGACGTGTGCGAGCGAGAAGAGGGTGGATACTTCTGGGGTGGGGGCAGGATTTCATTAGCTTAGGGTCCCCCAAAGGTCATAATTCCGCCTTTCCAAGGTTTTTTTTTTTAACAAAAGCGTAAGCAACAGACCAGACCCAAATTCGAACTCGACACACCGATTACATTTTCGACGCTGATAACCGCTACATAATTCTCTCATGTCAAAACGACTCCTAAGCAAATCGCTCGATTAATGAGGATCGATTACGTTCTCTGGGTTGCACCTTTCGTTATTTAGAAGGAATACGAGTTGCTTCCCTTGACCCGCCAAAATATGTACTGAGGAGAGCGGAGTAGGATTTTATGAAAGTACAAGCTTGATACTAAAAGAAATAATCTGGCAAGAAGGCGTAGACATTACGGTCGAGTGATCATTGATTTGCTCGGAGCAAAGCGCTTATTTTCCTCCCCACACAGGAATAAAAAAAAACAACAACAACAGCAAAAGAAAACAATGGAACTTGCATTAGTCAATAAATATATGCATCAAGGTTCACGGTTGGGCTAAATATTTAGCCATGTTGGGGAGTGGGAAGAAAGATAGACAAACAAACAGGAACAGATTGATATAGAAGAATATGAATGGACATAGATAGATAGATAGATAGATAGATAGATAGATAGATAGATATAAAGTAAATGAGATAGATAGATAGATAGATAGATAGATAGATAGATAGATAGATAGATAGATAGATATAAAGTAAATGAGACAGATAGATATAAAGTAAATGAGATAGATAGATAGATAGATAGATATAAAGTAAATGAGATAGATAAATAGATATGAGATGAATGAGATAGATAGATAGATAAATAGATAGATAGATAGATAGATATAAAGTAAATGAGTTAGATATATAGATAGATATGAACAGATTGGCAGATATGAAGAGAATGATAGATTAATATGAACAGAAAGTGAGATATTGCTAGATATGAACAGAAAGTGCTAGATACATACATACATATGAACAGAATGTGATATATATATATATATATATATATATATATATATATATATATATATATATACAGACATGAACAGAATGTGATATATATATATATATATGTATATACATATATATATATATATATATATATATATATATATATATATGCATATATACATACATACACATGAACAGAATGTGATATACATATATATATATATATATATATATATATATATATAAGCATTATAGATAGATATATATATAGACATGAACAGAATGTGATAAATACATATAGATAGATACATAGATAGATATGAAAAGACTGAAAAATACTTCGAGAGAAAGAGGGAAAAAGGAGCTGGAGAGAGAGAGAAAGTAAGAGAGAGAGAGATGATGGGGAGTGGGGGCTATGACAAAAGAAAGGAAAGTAAACTGTAAGAATTCTGGATAGGTTCGAAAACCTTTGGCCATCAAAGCCAAATGTCCTGAGCTCGTCTCGTACTCGAGATCCGTCTGGGTGGAGAGTAGATTTATAATGGGGTATGAATATTAAATATAATAAGCGATGGGGTCTGGAAAAAATGCGGTGGGAAATCACGTTATCGAATTGTAAATCCTGGAAAATATTAATAAGTGGGAGATGCTCTCAAAGGTAAGTCCTGGATAGAAATATTTAAAAAAAATAATTTCCGAGATTCGAGAGTATCTCTCATTTATGCATTTGCGAATATGTTTATTTATAATTATATATTATAATTTATTTATAGATATATGTGTATATATACATACACATTCGCTCTATTTCTGATATTGAGCACTTTATCCCATAAATATAACACACCTTAAAACTATATATATAAAGGCTCAAACACTAATATTCCATGGTTATAATTTATTACATTGGAATCGTAATCACGATCCAAATCGTCAGACCTGCAAATTCAAAAAGAATGTTTTTTTTCCGATTTCATTTTGTATTTGGAGGTCTGATGAATTGGATCGTAATTACGATTCCAATGTAATAAAATATAACCATGGCATATTAGTGTTTGAGCCTTTATATTATATTATATTCTTACTCTCACCTGGATCTACCTAGATTCTATCCTCTAGGAATTTATATATATATATATATATATATATATATATATATATATATATATATATATATATATATATATACTAATAATCTTATAAATATAAGCAGCTATACTCGTCCGGCATAACCTTAGGTGTTTTACCTTGTAAATGAACAAACTAATACTCAAGGGGAAAAAAAGGGAAAAAAAAGAAAGAACAAAGAACATGTACTTCCGGCGGAAATAATCGTCGAGAATCTAAGTTCAGAGTTCAAAGAAAAAAACCTCCGACATATGTAAAGTAAAAATGACTAAGCAAAGTGCTCAATACGCTAAGTAGAGCAAACTAAGTAAACCTAAAGAGCCAGACAAATTTACCTAGGTTTCACCTACGCGGATCGTCAGGGTAGAGCCAATCCACCCTGACGATCCGAGTAGGTGAAACCTAGGTAGGTTTGTCTGGCTCTTTAGGTGTACTAATATATATATATACAGACACACACACACTAGTACAGGGTTGGTGCGCATGGAATAAAGTGAAGATGTATTCAGATTTTATAATAGTTCAGAGCGAATTTTTTCAGCTGCAGCATTTCTTACCATTGACATGACGTTGTGACAACATGGAAGTTGCCCAGTCAATTTGGGGTCTGGAAAATAATTGATTGCTTCGTTACAGCAACGTCGTCACTACGACACACCCCAGGCAAGAAAAAAAAGACTCCAAGGCTTCTGCAACGTTAAAAGAATGTTCCGCGTTAACTGGAGGCAGAGAAAGATTCTGGATCCTGTACTTGGATGAGGTTTTATATTTTAGCCGGAGGAAAAAATATATATATGTGTGTGTCTGGAGGGGAATGAGTGCACTGTGTTTTTGTTTTATTTGGCTGGGGAGGATAGTGTCGTATATATTGGTGGGTCAGAGGGGGGAGAGTCTTGGAATAACGATTCACTTCCGAAGCTTGATTGACAAGAGATGTTGCCTGTGCCGTGAGGTGAAGACTTGCGTTACAAGCACCTGGCAACCAGTTGCTAATTACGTAGACGGAAGGGGGCGAAGATTAGGAAAATCTATTCTCGTTCTTGTCGTGGCAGTCGGGCTAGTAATTGGAGCTGATATTTTCCACTAAACTAAGCAATTATGTTTTTCCCTTTCTCTTTTTACTGAGTAAATAATAAGTGCAACACGCTTTGTGCTAATTAAAACTTCTGCTTTTATTGACCTACCTGAATCACGTGTCTGCCATCACTCTATCATAGCAAAATGGCGCTAATTTCACAATTCTTACTACATACGGATCCATTACTATTTTAATAATATATTTTCGACTTGTGCAGAGTGACAGAAAACGAGAAAGTATTTTCCACTAAGAATTTTATAAAAAAATATTTAAAAATATAATGAAGAGGAAACAGTAAAAAATATAATCATTTATATCGCATTTATATTAGATGAAAATTTTTCAAACAATCTTTCACTTTTGACAAGATACATGACTAAATTTCCATTTCTACTCCAAGTTAGTTATCTTATATGGAGTATTGTTAATTATTAATTTTTGGCAAGTTTTCTATAATTTTACCTGTCTTGCTCTTGATTGTATCTTGCATTCTTAAATAGTACAAGTAGAGAATATAGCTATATGGCTAAATTTGAATGACTCCTGCTGGTTAGCCTTCTTAGATGAAGCATTGTCAATTATTATTCATTTTTCACTAGTATTTCTTTCATCTTCATTTCTCTTGCTTTTTATTGCAACTCCCATCCATAAGAAGTAGAAGTAGAGAATATAGCTATATGGCTAAATTTGAATGACTCCTGCTGGTTAGCCTTCTTAGATGAAGCATTGTCAATTATTATTCATTTTTCACTAGTATTTCTTTCATCTTCATTTCTCTTGCTTTTTATTGCAACTCCCATCCATAAGAACTTTGGTTAGTTTTCTTGGACAATAATAATTGACAATGCTTCAATTATTATGAGGTTGTTCGAAAATTAATGTCCGATTTTAGAATAAAACTTTTAACTCTGTTAAAATATATTATTACAATAATTGCACAGATATATATTCCTGATTTCTAATGTTTAAACTGTCGTCTTTATTAGTTTTATGTCAATCTCTTTCATAGTTTAACTAAAAACATTGTATATCACTCATCTTGAACATGAAAAAAAATTAGATGCTTTTACTCTTTTCCATGAATTCAAAGTTGGTCATAATTTCTTTCAAACTGTTATCGACGTTAACAGAAAGTGGACTGAACGATCCACTTGTAATCGCTCAGAATGGCGCTGTTGTCTGAAGTACCGCAGTTTGAACCCTTTCAAAGAATATATTTTCGATACTGACAATAAGCAGACCGATGTGCGTAATACCCAGATACTAAAAAACATAATATAGACAAATGTTTTAAGTAATATATATGATGCGATAATGAACAAATGGTAAACTTTTCTAAATCTAACATGTTTCACTTTTATTAAAGCTTCACCAGAGAATGAGATAAGGAGAAAAAGAAAGAAATTGTGTGGTTGATACATGTATGTGTGTGTGATAAGGTAAAGAACAAATAGGAAACGTTTATCAATCTAACACGTTTCACTTTCATTAAAGTTTCATAAGAGAAGGAGATAAGGAGAATAGTCAGAAATAAATTCTCGTATTTTTGCTTTTGTGTCTGTTTCACATGCATTCGACTTCTTAAGTCTGTGGTTCCCAATTTTTTTTTTTTCTGGGCCACATTTTTGGAATTAAATTTTGCTCGCGCCTCATCAAATTTTATGTGATAAAATGTAAATTTAAAAAATAACAAAAAAAAGAACCCCAAAACAGAGAGAATTTTAAAGGGAGATAACTGTAGATTCAAACTCTGAACGTTATCATTGATAACTCTCTCCTCCAATTTGCGGACCCTATATTCTTAATACGCGATATAATGCAAAAATATCACAATGATAAATTCGGTCAATAATTATTGATCCTGAGACACATGAATGCAATCGAAAGTAATCTTACTTATTATAGAACGCAGGTTGCGCGCGCGCGCGCGCGCGTGTGTGTGTGTGTGTGTGTGTGTGTCTGTACGTTTATATATTGGATCGGATTTCCTACATTTTTCAACCGATCTCAACAAAACTTCACAGGACTACGTAAAATTACCTTGCGGTGGTGCTAACAGCGCCAAAAAATTGGAAAAACACAATTGTTTTTGCACTAAATCAATTTGAAAACACGATAAAACACGATCTTGTCGCCAGAATGAAAGGGGGACAACTCATATCGAGTTATACTTATTAGAAAACCCAGGTTGTTTGTGTGTGTGTGTGTGTGTGTGTGTGTGTGTGTGTGTGTGTGTGTGTGTGTGTGTGTGTGTTCGTTTATATATGGGATCGGATTTCCTACATTTTCAACCGATTTCAACAAAACTTCACTTTTTTTTTTTGCAGGTAGTGTTTCTTATTGTCTTGCACACTTTTTTTTTTTATTTTACATTCAGAATGCTTTAAAAATTCCATTTACAAGACAATTGTTTATAATAAAATTCTATTCAATCGATAGACTCATAATGATTGAAAACAATGTTTTTGTTTGAGTTTGGGTTTGACCAATTCGTAAAAAAAAAAACAAAAAAAACTAATTAAGACATGTGTGTCCATCAACCTTAAACAATAATCTTTGTCAATTTTATTTTTCAGTCTTTATGATGGTCGATACTTGATCTATCTCTTTTACTGTTACATCCCCGGGCAACGCCGGGCTCTACTGCTAGTCCATAATAATATCTGACATTCTGAAATCATATTTTTGGCATATGAATTTTTTGAAGGAGAAGTAAAACTGAGTTCAAACTAACCTGGTGAGGGATGGGCTCCGTCAGGCTGTTTTGCACAAATGGCTGCAGTAGATGTGTCCCTATGATCCAAAGACATTGGTTCCCAAACTTTCTTTCTCTGCTCTGCATTTTCGGAATGGAAATTTGCATGTGCCTCACTAAATTTTATGTGATAAAAAGTACGTTTAAATAAAAAAAGGTCTTTAAATATTGAATATTATTAAATATAATATACATCATTAAAGTACACACAATTAGTGAAAGGTATGAGTTTATTTTTTACAAATAATCTCTTTTATATTAGGCCTAAATTGAGATAAACAAACTCCTAATCTCCTAATAAATAATAAGCAGCCGTTCCTGTTTTGTTTTTTTATATATATATATATTTGTCAGAACTAAAAATTCTTGTGAAAGTCCCGGTGAAAAAGCACAAGCGGCCCTATGGCAAAGAAGGTCCAGCGGGATAGTTAAAGGGAAATAACCACGGATTCAAAGAACATTATCATTGATAACACTCTCCTCCAATTTGCGGAGCCTAGTTACTATATTCTTAATACGCGATATAATGCAAGAATATCACAATGATAAAATCTGTCAATAATTATTTATAACTATTTATACTGGGACTGATGCATGCAATGAAAAGTAATTCATAATATTTTAAATTTTGAAATCATTTAGTTTTGGGATATGGATTTTTTAACCAGTTTCTAAATATTTGATTGCCTTTAAATCATTCCGCCTCACCTGCTATCCTCTTCCGCCGTACATACGAGGTGCGTCGCATCGTTTGAGAGCCACTGTTTTAAAACAGTGTTGGTATAAATTGCAGCCTTCCGAATTCAAGAAAAGACGAAGCGGCGATCCAAATTTTCAAAAAATTAACAGATTCCAAGATTACCCCACGGTCACAATCTCAAATCCCTTCAAGTAAATACAGCTGTGTGCATATATATATATATATATATATATATATATATATATATATATATATATATATATAGAGAGAGAGAGAGAGAGAGAGAGAGAGATTTAGATAATCAGAAAAAATGAATGTTAACCATGCATCTTAAACAAGTACTTTTTTTTTTTGCTATGATTTCTTAGACAATGTTTGTCTGATTCTTCAACCTGGTGCAAAGCCTTCGGTTCTCAGTAATGTTTTCCCTATCTGTTGAACGGAGAATGTGCCATCTCTCTGAAAAGTAGTCAAACCAACCAGAAAGTCCTTCCAAATATATTTTCGATATCTGGTCAATTGATCAGATCTTACTAGGAGCGTCGGACAGAGAACATAAACAAGCCAAAAACAGATTTTTTTTTCTTTTACATTTTAAACTGCAAAAATTTCCTGTAATTTGCTCGAATCTCATCCACATTTCAGAAATATAAATGTAACACGTGATTTAGTAATTCACGGGGTTAGAATTGTTGCAATGCAAGCTAAATACATGTTGATTTAAAATATTGCTTTATGTATGTAAGTGTATAATATTAAGCAAAAATTCTGCTTTCCTATGGGATCATCTCTTACTGGAGTCCTTGCTTGACTTTTGCTGGAATTTATAGAGTTCAGTCCATTTAAACACACCATACCTAAAAGCTCTACTTACCTAAGTATTAATAATAATTAGGTAAGTATTATCACATAAAATTTAAGTTAATGCTCTCTCTCTCTGTATATATATATATATATATATATATATATATATATATATATATATATATATGAAATGGACAAAAGTCCGACAATAATTTAAGACATTTTTTAAGAGAATCAAATAGTTTAAAGACAGTAAAATTGACCTTGCTAACAGAACGCTCCTCTGTAGCCAAATCGGTTAAAGGCACGTCAGGCAATATGACGGTTCGGTATAGGATACAGTTTCGATTCCTGTTGGAGGACGAAAGTTTTCTATGAAAATTTCTCGGACATTCAGGCCGGTAAATGTTGTTTAATACAGTTTATTATAAACAGAGCATTTACTTAAATATTTGTATCTATAAAAAGAATGTATAAACATAAAATTTCTTAAAATATATATAATGTTTTTTTGTTTTTTTTATAGATTTCATTTATATAAGTTAATGCTCTATTTTTTAATTAAACAGTATTAATTATATTTACCATCTTTGAGGTTCGAGAAAATTTCGTAGAAAATATGCGCCCCGGGAGAAATCGAACTTTTAACCGTTATGGAACTGTTTATAAACGCTTGATTATTTCGGTTAAGATATATTTCGTGAGCAGAAATGATCAATTGAGAAAAAATCGTCGTAGGTGTGTGTTTATAAAGAGCAATTCTGATTTTTCTAACCAGAGGTTTCTCAGTGGCTGAATGGTTAAAAGCACGTCAGGCGAAATGACGGTTCCCATAAGGGTCACAGTTTCGATTTCTGAGCATATTTTCTACGAGAATTATCTAACATACAGGTAGGTAAATGTAATTAATACTGTTTAATTTTTAAAAAAAAAAACAAAAAACCTAGCCATGGTGTAGCCACCAAATCTTGACGCCTAGCTATGTGGCAACCAGCTTTTGACACTTTACCATTGGATAACGAGCTCTTGATAACTAGCTATGGGGCAACGAACTCTTGGTAGTAGCCATGAAGCAACCAGCCCTAGACACCTAGGAATGGAGCAACCAGTTCTACACACATAGCTATGGGGAAACCAGCTTTTGACACCGAGCCATGGGGCAACTCGCTCTTCATACCTAGCCATTGGGCAACCAGTACTTTGCACCTAGCCATGGGGCAACCATCATCTCTTGACTCCTAGCTATTGGGAAACCAGCATTTGATACCGAGCCATGGGTCAACTAGCTCTTCATACCTAGCCATTGGGCTACCAGTTCTTTGCACCTAGCCATGGGGCAACCACCATCTCTTGACACTTAGCCATGGTGCAACCAGCTCTTGACACCTTGCTATGAGGCAACCAGCTCTAGACAGCTAGCCATAGGGCAACCAGCTCTTGATACCTTGCCATGGGGTAACTAGCTCTTGACACCTTGCCATGGGGCAAGCAGCTCTAGACAGTTAGCTATGAGGCAACCAGCTCTTGACACTTAGCCATGGGGCAAAACGGGTTGGTCTCCCAGCAAGCAGCTACATTGAACAGCTATGTAATGAAACATGATGCCACTCTCATGAGCTTCCAATCTTGATACAGAACTGTGAAGGTTGGCGGGACAGACTCCGGAATATTCGAGTTAGCTCGACCGAATAAAAATAAAATAATAAAAGATCTTGCAACAGATTTTAAAATGAAATGTTGCTATAATGTTTTCAGACCAACGTGAAAATAGGGATGTAAAAAAAAATAAATTATTTCAGTCGTTTTGGTTTGTTTTACGGCATATCAATCACAATGAGTTATTTTATGCCAACAATTTTAAATATTGGTATTATTTTCCTTCAAAAATGTATGCTGGGTATATTTTTTCCCTTCATAAATGTATTACTGGTAATATTTATTCCTTCACAATTCTATTTCTGGTAATAATTTTTTATTCAGAATCTGTATCTGGTAATATTTTTTCTCCAAAAAGGTAATATTTTTCAAAAAATCTATTTTTACAAAAATGTATTGCTGGTAATAATTTTTACAAAGTATTTTTGGTATTAAACCCTATGTTTACACTTTCATAGTAGTTTTTAGGGTTAACTATTTACCCATAGCTGGGACCGTAACAGGTGCTACCACTCCGATTCTTGGTGGAGCTGGGAACACTAGCAATTAAGAGGTGATTTCATGGTCCTCAAAACCTCCTGATCAGAAGCCTTGCTATTGGACGTAGTTTATCGTCTTACCTAGGACGCGGAGGTAGTTTATCGTCACGCCCAGGACGGTAAATTATTTCGTTTTTGGCGGATAACTTTAGCTCTTTCTCTAAATTTTGCCTTGTGCCAAGCTAGTCAATATCAAAGGAAAATTTTGTAACGAATGCTAAGATGAAATGTTGCAATAAAATGTTGCAATAAAATGTTCAAACCAATATGGAAATAGGGAAAAATATGGAAAAAATGCGCGGTGCAAAGTCAAATTTGTTCACGATTTTCTTTCTTTTTTTTTTTTTTTTTATAAGAATAGGATGTTGATAATTTTCAAAGCTTTTGGACATAAGTTCTTATTTTAATCACTTCTGGCTTTTCTTTAAAATGGTTTTTATTCCGACTGTTGATTTAAATCCATATATTTCGAGCATAAATGCGCAAATTCTATTCGATTCGTTCAGTTACGTGTAAAAGATTTTCTTATGAAACTTTCTTTTACATATTCCTCTCTTTCTTTAAATCTGACAAACGGTTTTTCTTTCTTCCTTCGTGAAAAAAAAAGGAAAGAAGAAAAGTACAAAGTTTCCAGACTTTTCGGATATTGTCTGTTCGGTTTGTTAAAATTAACTGCGCTAAATGTGTTATTCTTATCTTACTACATTCTTTTCTTTTGTGTCTCTTAAAATCAGTAACACTCTTTTATTTTCTTTTTCAATCTTGAAATGTTGGTTTTTCTATTTTTACTTTCATTTCTTTCTGTTTTCCACTTCATAATTCAATCGTTTTCACATCTTTGTTTAAGATTTATATTTATTCAACTTTTTCGTTCATTCCTCTTTTCATTTTATAATTTTTTCTTTTATTCTTTCTCAAGTATTCTTTAAGTTTTCAGTTTACACTTCTTTTTACTTTCTTCCATTCATTTGATATTTTCTCTTTACACTTCGTTGTTTTCTTCTTTCTAAGTTCTTTCAGTTTTTCCTATTACACTTCTTTTTTCTCTCTTTCATTCATTTCATATTTTCTCTTTACACTTCGTTATTTTCTTCTTTCTAAGTTCTTTCAGTTTTTCCTATTACACTTCTTTTTTCTCTCTTTCATTCATTTCATATTTTCTCTTTACACTTCGTTCTTTTCTTCTTTCTAAGTTTTTTCAGTTTTTCAGTTTACACTTCTTTTTTCTCTCTTTCATTCATTTCATATTTTCTCTTTACACATCGTTCTTTTCTTCTTTCTCAGTTTTTTTCAGTTTTTCCTATTACACTTCTTTTTTCTCTCTTTCATTCATTTCATATTTTCTCTTTACACTTCGTTCTTTTCTTCTTTCTCAGTTTTTTCAGTTTTTCCTCTTACACTTCTTTTTTCTCTCTTTCATTCATTTCATATTTTCTCTTTACACTTCGTTCTTTTCTTCTTTCTCAGTTTTTTCAGTTTTTCAGTTTACACTTCTTTTTTCTCTCTTTCATTCATTTCATATTTTCTCTTTACACTTCGTTCTTTTCTTCTTTCTAAGTTCTTTCAGTTTTTCAGTTTACACTTCTTTTTTCTCTCTTTCATTCATTTCATATTTTCTCTTTACACTTCGTTCTTTTCTTCTTTCTCAGTTTTTTTCAGTTTTTCAGTTTACACTTCTTTTTTCTCTCTTTCATTCATTTCATATTTTCTCTTTACACTTCGTTCTTTTCTTCTTTCTAAGTTCTTTCAGTTTTTCAGTTTACACTTCTTTTTTCTCTCTTTCATTCATTTCATATTTTCTCTTTACACTTCGTTCTTTTCTTCTTTCTCAGATTTTTCAGTTTTTCAGTTTACACTTCTTTTTTCTTTCTTTCATTCATTTCATATTTTCTCTTTACACATCGTTCTTCTTTCTCAGTTTTGTCAGTTTTTCAGTTTACACTTCTTTTTTCTCTCTTTCATTCATTTCATATTTTCTCTTTACACATCGTTCTTTTCTTCTTTCTCAGTTTTTTCAGTTTTTCAGTTTACACTTCTTTTTTCTCTCTTTCATTCATTTCATATTTTCTCTTTACACATCGTTCTTTTCTTCTTTCTCAGTTTTTTCAGTTTTTCCTATTACACTTCTTTTTTCTCTCTTTCATTCATTTCATATTTTCTCTTTACACTTCGTTCTTTTCTTCTTTCTAAGTTCTTTCAGTTTTTCAGTTTACACTTCTTTTTTCTCTCTTTCATTCATTTCATATTTTCTCTTTACACATCGTTATTTTCTTCTTTCTCAGTTTTTTCAGTTTTTCCTATTACACTTCTTTTTTCTCCCTTTCATTCATTTCATATTTTCTCTTTACACTTCGTTCTTTTCTTCTTTCTAAGTTCTTTCATTTTTTCAGTTTACACTTCTTTTTTCTCTCTTTCATTCATTTCATATTTTCTCTTTACACATCGTTCTTTTCTTCTTTCTCAGTTTTTTTTTCGTTTTCCTATTACACTTCTTTTTCTCTCTTTTTTTCATTTTTTTTCTTTTTTCATTCATTTTTTCTTCTTTCTAAGTTCTTTCTTTTTCAGTTTACGTTCTTTTCTCTCTTCATTTCTAAGTTCTTTTACAGTTTTTTTCTTCTTTCTCAGTTTTTTTTTTTCTCTCTCTTTCATTCATTTCATATTTTCTCTTTACACTTCGTTCTTTTCTTCTTTCTCAGTTTTTTTCAGTTTTTTCAGTTTACACTTTTTTTTCTCTCTTTCATTCATTTCATTTTTCTCTTTTTTCATTCTTTTCTTCTTTCTATTTTCTCTTTTTCAGTTTACACATCTTTTTTCTTTTTCATTCATTTCTTTTTTTCTCTTTAAACCTCGTTTTTTTTTCTTTCTCAGATTTTTCAGTTTTTTCAGTTTTTTTTTTTTCTCTTTTCATTCATTTCATATTTTCTCTTTACACATCGTTCTTTTCTTCTTTCTCAGTTTTTTCAGTTTTTCAGTTTACACTTCTTTTTCTCTCTTTCATTCATTCATTTTCTCTTTACATTTCTTTTCTTCTTTCTCAGTTTTTTCAGTTTTTTCAGTTTACTTTTTTTTCTTCTTTTTCATTTCATATTTTCTCTTTACACATCGTTTTTTTCTTCTTTCTCAGTTTTTCAGTTTTTCCTATTACACTTCTTTTTTTCTCTTTCATTCATTTCATATTTTTTCTTTTTACACTTCGTTCTTTTCTTCTTTCTAAGTTCTTTCATTTTTTCAGTTTACACTTCTTTTTTCTCTCATTCATTTCATATTTTCTCTTTACACATCGTTATTTTCTTCTTTCTCAGTTTTTTCCGTTTTTCCTATAACACTTCTTTTTTCTCTCTTTCATTCATTTCATATTTTCTCTTTACACTTCGTTCTTTTCTTCTTTCTCAGATTTTTCAGTTTTTCAGTTTACACTTCTTTTTTCTCTCTTTCATTCATTTCATATTTTCTCTTTACACTTCGTTCTTTTCTTCTTTTCTAAGTTCTTTCAGTTTTTTTTTCAGTTTACACTTCTTTTTTCTCTTTCATTCATTTCATATTTTCTCTTTAAACCTCGTTCTTTTTCTTCTTTCTCAGATTTTTCAGTTTTCAGTTTACACTTCTTTTTTTTCTTTCTTTCATTCATTTCATATTTTCTCTTTTTTCACATCGTTCTTTTCTTCTTTCTCAGTTTTGTCAGTTTTTTCAGTTTACACTTCTTTTTTTCTCTCTTTCATTCATTTCATATTTTCTCTTTTACACATCGTTCTTTTCTTCTTTCTCAGTTTTTTCAGTTTTTCCTATAACACTTCTTTTTTTCTCTTTTCATTCATTTCATATTTTCTCTTTACACTTCGTTCTTTTTCTTCTTTCTCAGATTTTTCAGTTTTTCAGTTTACACTTTTTTTTTTTCTCTTTTCATTCATTTCATATTTTCTCTTTACACATCGTTCTTTTCTTCTTTCTCAGTTTTTTCAGTTTTTTTTCAGTTTACACTTCTTTTTTTCTCTCTTTCATTCATTTCATATTTTCTCTTTTACACTTCGTTCTTTCTTCTTTCTCAGTTTTTTTCAGTTTTCCTATTACACTTCTTTTTTCTCTCTTTCATTCATTTCATATTTTTCTCATTACACTTCGTTCTTTTTTCTTCTTTCTAAGTTCTTTCAGTTTTCAGTTTACACTTCTTTTTCTCTCTTTCATTCATTTCATATTTTCTCTTTACACATCGTTATTTTCTTCTTTCTCAGTTTTTCAGTTTTTTCCTATTACCTTTTTTTCTCTTTCTTTTTCTCTTTTCTCTTTCAATTCATTCTTTTCTTCTTTTACAGTTCTTTCTTTTTTTTTCAGTTTCTTTCTTTTTTCTTTCATTTTTTTTTCTCTTTACATCGTTTTTTTCTTCTTTCTTTTTTTCATTTTCCTATAACACTTTTTTTCTTTACATTCATTTCATTTTTCTTTTACTTTCTCTTTCTTCTTTTTCCGTTTTTCCTATTTCAACACTTCTTTTTTCTCTCTTTCATTCATTTCATATTTTCTCTTTACACTTCGTTCTTTTCTTCTTTCTCAGATTTTTCAGTTTTTCAGTTTACACTTCTTTTTTCTCTCTTTCATTCATTTCATATTTTCTCTTTACACTTCGTTCTTTTCTTCTTTCTAAGTTCTTTCAGTTTTTCAGTTTACACTTCTTTTTTCTCTCTTTCATTCATTTCATATTTTCTCTTTAAACTTCGTTCTTTTCTTCTTTCTCAGATTTTTCAGTTTTTCAGTTTACACTTCTTTTTTCTTTCTTTCATTCATTTCATATTTTCTCTTTACACATCGTTCTTTTCTTCTTTCTCAGTTTTTCAGTTTACTTTTTTTCTCTTTTCATTCATTTCATATTTTCTTTTTCTCTTCTTTTCTTCTTTCTCATTTTTTCATTTTTCATATTTTTTTTTCTCTTTTCATTCATTTCATTTTTCTCTTTCTTCGTTCTTTTTTTTTCTAAGTTTTTTTACAGTTTTTCAGTTTACACTTCTTTTTTCTCTCTTCATTCATTTCATATTTTCTCTTTACACATCGTTCTTTTCTTCTTTTCTCAGTTTTTCAGTTTTTATAACAGTTTTTTTCCTATTATTCATTTCATATTTTCTCTTTACTTTTTTTCTTCTTTCATTTTTTCATTTTCATATTTTCTTTCTTTCATTCATTTCGTTCTTTTCTTCTTTCTAAGTTCTTCTTTCTCAGTTTTTTTCAGTTTACACTTCTTTTTTCTCTTTCTTCATTTCATTTTCATTTTACATATTTTTCTCTTTTCTTTCACATTTTTCAGTTTTCAGTTTACCTTCTTTTTTTCTCTCTTTTTTTTCAGTTTTTCCTTTAACTTCGTTCTTTTTTTCTTTCTTTCTTTCATTTTTCATTTTTTCTTCTTTTTCTCTTTTTCATTTCTTTTCATTTTTTCTCTTTACACATCGTTTTTTCTTCTTTCTCAGTTTTTTCAGTTTTTTTCACTTCTTTTCTTTTTCATTCATTTCATATTTTCTCTTTACACTTTCGTTTCTTTTCTTCTTTCTAAGTTCTTTTCAGTTTTTCCTATTACACTTCTTTTTCTCTCTTTCATTCATTTCATATTTTCTCTTTACACTTCGTTCTTTTCTTCTTTCTAAGTTTTTTCAGTTTTTCAGTTTACACTTCTTTTTTCACTCTTTCATTCATTTCATATTTTCTCTTTACACTTCGTTCTTTTCTTCTTTCTAAGTTTTTTCAGTTTTTTCAGTTTACACTTTTTTTCTCTTTCATTCATTTCATATTTTTCTTTTACACTTCGTTCTTTTCTTCTTTCTAAGTTTTTTCAGTTTTCCTATTTACACTTCTTTTTTCTCTTTCATTCATTTTCATATTTTCTCTTTACATCATTCTTTTCTTTTTCTTTTTTTTTCAGTTTTTTTCTCAGTTTTTTCCTTTTCTTTTACATCTTTTTTTTCTTTTTCAGTTTTTTTCATTTCCTTTTACACTTTTTTTTCTTTTTCATTCATTTCATTTCTCTTTTACATCATCGTTCTTTTCTTCTTTCTTAGTTTTTTCAGTTTTCAGTTTACACTTCTTTTTTCTCTCTTTCATTCATTTCATATTTTCTCTTTACACATCGTTCTTTTCTTCTTTCTAAGTTCTTTCAGTTTTTCAGTTTTACACTTCTTTTTCTCTCTTTCATTCATTTCATATTTTTCTTTTACACTTCGTTCTTTTCTTCTTTCTCAGATTTTTCAGTTTTTCAGTTTACACTTCTTTTTTCTCTCTTTCATTCATTTCATATTTTCTCTTTACTCATCGTTCTTTTCTTCTTTCTCAGTTTTTTTCAGTTTTTCAGTTTACACTTCTTTTTTCTCTCTTTCATTCATTTCATATTTTCTCTTTACACTTCGTTCTTTTCTTCTTTCTAAGTTCTTTCAGTTTTTCCTATTACACTTCTTTTTTCTCTCTTTCATTCATTTCATATTTTCTCTTTACACTTCGTTCTTTTCTTCTTTCTCAGATTTTTCAGTTTTTCAGTTGACACTTCTTTTTTCTCTCTTTCATTCATTTCATATTTTCTCTTTACACTTCGTTCTTTTCTTCTTTCTAAGTTCTTTTCAGTTTTTCAGTTTACACTTTTTTTTCTCTCTTTCATTCATTTCATATTTTCTCTTTACACATCGTTCTTTTCTTCTTTCTCAGTTTTTTCAGTTTTCAGTTTACACTTCTTTTTTTCTCTTTCATTCATTTCATATTTTCTCTTTACACTTCGTTCTTTTCTTCTTTCTAAGTTCTTTCAGTTTTTCCTATTACACTTCTTTTTTCTCTCTTTCATTCATTTCATATTTTCTCTTTACACTTCGTTCTTTTCTTCTTTCTCAGATTTTTCAGTTTTTCAGTTGACACTTCTTTTTTCTCTCTTTCATTCATTTCATATTTTCTCTTTACACTTCGTTCTTTTCTTCTTTCTCAGTTTTTTCAGTTTTTCCTATTACACTTCTTTTTTCTCTCTTTCATTCATTTCATATTTTCTCTTTACACATCGTTCTTTTCTTCTTTCTCAGTTTTTTCAGTTTTTCCTATAACACTTCTTTTTTCTCTCTTTCATTCATTTCATATTTTCTCTTTACATTTCGTTCTTTTCTTCTTTCTCAGTTTTTTCAGTTTTTCCTCTTACACTTCTTTTTTCTGTCTTTCATTCATTTCATATTTTCTCTTTACACTTCGTTCTTTTCTTCTTTCTAAGTTTTTTCAGTTTTTCAGTTTACACTTCTTTTTTCACTCTTTCATTCATTTCATATTTTCTCTTTACACTTCGTTCTTTTCTTCTTTCTAAGTTTTTTCAGTTTTTCAGTTTACACTTCTTTTTTCTCTCTTTCATTCATTTCATATTTTCTCTTTACACATCGTTCTTTCCTTCTTTCTCAGTTTTTTTCAGTTTTTCCTATTACACTTCTTTTTTCTCTCTTTCATTCATTTCATATTTTCTCTTTACACATCGTTCTTTTCTTCTTTCTCAGTTTTTTTCAGTTTTTACACTTTTTTTTCTCTCTTTCATTCATTTCATATTTTCTCTTTACACATCGTTCTTTTCTTCTTTCTTAGTTTTTTCAGTTTTTCAGTTTACACTTCTTTTTTCTCTCTTTCATCCATTTCATATTTTCTCTTTACACATCGTTCTTTTCTTCTTTCCCAATTGTTCTATTAGTTTTAAAGTTTACACTTCTTTCTATTTTCTTTCTTTCCTTCATTTCCTATTTCTTACACTTCTTTCTTTTTCTTTCTCGGCTTCTCTTTCAGATTTTTATCTTACACTTCTTTCCTTTTTTCATTCTTTTATTCATTTCTTATGTTCTCCTTACACTTCTTTCTTTTTTCCTTCTTAATACTTTTTTCAGCTTTACAGTTTATACTTCTTTCTTTTTCTTTCTTTCATTCGTTTCTTGTTTTCTCTTTAAACTTCTTTCATATTTTTCTCAATTGTTTTTTTTTTATTTTTTATTTTGCTCCTTCTTTCTTTCATTCAATTCTTATTTTCACTTCATACGACTTTCTTTCTTTCCTCAGTTTTAGATTTATATTTCTTTCTTCTGTTTTTTCCTTTCCTTCTTTCTTTCTTTCTTTCATTTCTTAATTTCACTTTACACTTCTTTTTTCTTTGTTTTTTTTCCAGCTTATTTCAATTTTTAATTCATATTAGTTTCATTCATTAATTTGTGTTTTTCATTTTATAATTCTTTCTTTTCTTTCTTTCGCTCTTTCTTTTCTTTCTTTCTTTCTTTCGTTCTTTCTTTCTTTCTTTCTTGCTTACTTTTATTATTTCTTTCTTTTCACCTTTTGATGTATTTCCTAAAACTTAAACTTTTCTTGCTATCTCCTTCTTTCTTTCCTTTATTTTCTTTCTTTTTTTTTATTTAAATTTAAAATTACAGTTTTTTTTTCTTTTGCCTCTTTCTTTTTTTTTTCTTTCTGTTTATTCTTTCTTTCTGTTCATTCTTTTCTTTCTTTCTTTCTTTCATTTCTTAATTTCACTTTACACTTCCTTTTTTCTTTGTGTTTTTTCAGCTTATTTCAATTTTCAATTCATATTAGTTTCTTTCATTAATTTGTGTTTTTCATTTTATAATTCTTTCTTTTCTTTCTTTCTCTCTTTCTTTTCTTTCTTTCGCTCTTTCTTTTCTTTCTTTCTTTCTTTCTTTCGTTCTTCCTTTCTTTCTTTCTTGCTTACTTTTATTATTTCTTTCTTTTCACCTTTTGATGTATTTCCTAAAACTTAAACTTTTCTTGCTATCTCCTTCTTTCTTTCCTTTATTTTCTTTCTTTTTTTATTTAAATTTAAAATTATAGTTTTTTCTTTCTTTTGCCTCTTTCTTTTTTCTTTCTTTCTGTTTATTCTTTCTTTCTGTTCATTCTTTCTTTCTTTCTTTCTTTCATTTCTTAATTTCACTTTACACTTCCTTTTTCTTTGTGTTTTTCAGCTTATTTCAATTTTCAATTCATATTAGTTTCTTTCATTAATTTGTGTTTTTCATTTTATAATTCTTTCTTTTCTTTCTTTCTCTCTTTCTTTTCTTTCTTTCGCTCTTTCTTTTCTTTCTTTCTTTCTTTCTTTCGTTCTTCCTTTCTTTCTTTCTTGCTTACTTTTATTATTTCTTTCTTTTCACCTTTTGATGTATTTCCTAAAACTTAAACTTTTCTATCTTTCTATCTCCTTCTTACTTTCCTTTATTTTCTTTCTTTTTTTATTTAAATTTGAAATTATAGTTTTTTCTTTCTTTTGCTTCTTTCTTTTTTCTTTCTTTCTGTTTATTCTTTATTTCTTTTCTTTCTTTCTGTTCATTCTTTCTTTCTTTTCTTTCTTTATATCTTTTCTTTTTTCTTTATTTTTTTCTTTCTTTCTTTCTTTCTTTCTTTCTGTCCTTCTTGCTTACTTTTGTTATTTCTTTCTTGTCACCCTTTTATGTGAGTCTTAAAGTTAAACTCTTCTTTCTTTCCGTCTTCCTTCTTCTTTTCCTTTCTTTTCTTTCCTCTTTTATTTAAATTGAAAATTAGAGTTTCTTTTCTTTCTTTATATCTTTTCTTTCTTTTCTTTTCTTTCTTTTTTTCTTTCTTTCTTTTCTTTCTTTCTGTCCTTTCTTTTTCTTTCAGCTGCAGAGTTTTATTCTTTCTCCCTTTCTTCCTCAGTGACAATGTCTTTTTTTTTCTGTAAACTTTTGAACACTTTTTAATCCAATCTCTTCGCTTGGTTAACCGAGTTAATTCTTTCTTTCCGCAGGTTCCCTCACCTTCACTCTCTGCCTAACTCCCTCTAACTCTTTCTCCCTAACTCTCCCCACTACTTCCCATTATATCAACTTTATAACCCCTCTATCTCTCTCACTTTTTTTTCTGTTTCTTTCTTTTATATTTTTTAATGTATTTCTACGTATAGTGAGTTGTGCTTCATAATCTTATGTACACCCAGATTACTTTTTCTGTTATTTCTCTTTCTTTTCTTTTTCTTTTCTCTTTCTTTCCTACTCTTTCTTTCTCCTTGTAACTTTTTCTTGCTTTCGGAAGCTTGGGATTTTTTTTTTCATGAAAGGGTCCATACGGTTGGCTAACTCAAATATCGTCACATTTTCCCACTCAACCATTTTTTTTCTTGTCCTCTTTTCTTATCTCATTCTCTATGTCCCTCTCTTTCTAATTACCTGTTTCTCTTTCTCCTATTCTCTCTTTCTCCTTCTTCGAAGCTCAACAACCTACCCCGCTTTGCGTATATTTCAGGTGTTCCGAAAAGAAACCACTTTTCAATCCGATTGCAACGTGACGAAATCCCGTTTTTAAGCTCGTTAAATTTTTTTTTTTGAAATCTCGCGATTTCTTGAACTGTTCACAAAGCGTTGAAATCTTTGTACTGGCAACATTTCAGCGTAAAAATCATTTATTTGGACGATTAATCGTGCCACACGACTTAAAGCACACAAAATATTTTAATCGCGTCACAATGGCGGAAACAAATTCAAATATTTTAAGTATATTCCTGTTCAGCTTTGCTGCTGTAAACTTCCGAAGCCTTTAGGCAAAAGTAGATGGTGTGAATCACAGTAGAAAATACAGACATTCAAATATTCACGGGATGTCCACTTAGCTTATATCTAACAAAAGCTTAAAACTTTTCTATAGTTCGATGCACTTCTAGGAAAAAAAAAGTTTAAGACATTGACTTTAATTACAAAATTAATGACCTTTCTGATGTCATCAGTTCTCCACTCGTTATCTATGCTGATGATAAAATTATTTACTACTACAGTAGAATCCCTCATATCCGAGATCCTACATATCCGGAATTCCGCATATCCGGAATTCCGCATATCCGAATTCCGCATATCCGGAATTTCGCATATCCAAAATCCCGCATATCCGGACATGATTTTGATGTCTATATTTAGTCTATTTGGGTGATATGTAACTGGTTTTAAATTTCTGTTATTTCTGGAAATTTACTTTGGATAATTGCTTATGCTTATTTCACCCTAATGGCTTGTATTGGTGCAAAAGATGATAGGACTAAGAGGAAAAGAACAACTTTGGATTTATCGCAAAAAGTGGAAATTTTAAACAGACTAGACACTGGTGAAAGTTCATTGTAATTAATGGCTGATTTCAATATAGGAAAGTCAACATTGTATGATATAAAATCTTCCAAAGAAACTATTCTCCAGCGTTCACACTGTCACAATGAACAAGGAAATAAAAAAAAAAAACATGGTTCTGGTGAAACCTGGACTGGAATTGATAAAGCTATAGAAAAACTCGTCAGTTTTATGGAAAGAAAGCTAGCATTCAGGTATGACAATTGCAATAACGCACGCAGAGTTAAAAAGTGTCTTTCGTTTAAAAAACAATTCAAGAACAAAAGCAAAACGAAATGCAAAACGAAAAAAGTTGAGAAAAACATCAGAAGAAATTATGCAACAGCGATTAAAAAATCCTCATTACATTATTTATTTTGCATACATCGCATACTTAATTTAATGAATTTTCTTTAAAATTACATAATTTATTTAATTTTCCTTAAAATCAATTCCGTTATATTTCACTCACCATTAGCTTATTTTGTTTACTATAAAACATTGAAAATAAATGTTAAACCTGATTTCAGTTCTTTTATTTTAATCTAAAAACAACCCCTCATATCCGGACTTTGTAACCAATTCCTCATATCCGGAAGGCCTTCTTAGTCCGGTTGTCAGGGATTCTGCTGTATTTTAATATTAAGTTCTATCATGTCAAATTGACAGCTGATCCCGAAATATCACTAAATTTGCTGTCAACTGGGACAAGGAATGGCTTCGTAAACGAAACTGTTCACTATTAATCATTTGAGAGAGCTCATTTTGCCCTTCGTCAGCATGGCTGATGCTAACCACCAGGCAAGTGATTCATTGCGGCTTCTCGGGCTAACGCTTTTCGCTGACATGAAGTGGAAAGATTATATTGAATCAATTGCAAAGCCTGCTGCTAGGAAATTTGGTTCAATGTGTCGTGCTAGACAATTTTTATCCGCTGAATCTATCTCACATATTTATAAGTCTAACATTCGACCATACCTTGAATATTGCTGCCACATATGGTTTGGCTTCCCTCCTATATATCTAGAGATCATTGATAAAATCCAAAGAAAGGTCTGCAATGTTATTGTTTCTGACCTGGCATCTCGGCTTCAGTCACTTTTTTACCGCCATAATTTTAGCCATTCTGTGCCTTTTCTTTAAATACTTTCATGGTAATTTTTCTGATATACTTTTCTCGCTGGAACCTAAACTTTAACCTGTCCAGTAAGACACCCATTTCTGGCCCACACCATAAATATTATATATCTGATCAGTTCGATAAAGTCAAATTGGCAGCTCATCTCACAAATTAAATCAAATTTGTTGTTAAATGGGACAAGAAATGACTCCGTAATTTTAACGCTTTCAAAACGAAACTGCTCACTATTAATCATCTGAGATAACCCTTTTTGCCCTCCATCAGTATGGCTGATGCTAACCTCCAGGAGAGTGACTCACTACTCGGGCGAATGCTTTCCGCTGACGTGAATTGGAAAAATTATATTTAATCAATTGTTAGGTCTGCTATTAGAAAAGTTTGTTCACTGTGTCGTATTAGACAATTTTTCTCCTCTGAATCTATCTTACATAGCTATAAGTCTAGTATTCGACAATGCCTTGAATATTTCTGCTACATATTGGTTTGGTCTGCTATATATTTAGAGATCCTGGATAAAATTCAAAGAAAGGTCTGCAATGTTATTCGTTCTGACCTGTTATCTCTGCTTCAGTCACTTTTCTACCAACGTAATGTTGCTTATCTATGCCTTTTCTTTAAGTACTTTCATGTTAATTTTTCTGATAAACTTTTCTCGCTGGTAACTAAATTTTAACCTGTCCCGTAAGACAGCCATTTCTGGTAGCAACACACTGTGAAACAGTGAAATTAAAACGGATGAAAGGTTTAGAGTAGTCCTTTTCTCGAGTGCTGATGGCCCGGAAGCGACCAGATTTACTTTTGATCAGGCCTTTATTCTCATAAGAAATACAGGCCCACACCATAAATATTATATATCTGATCGCTTTGATAAAGTCAAATTGGCAGTTCATCTCACAAATGACATCAAATCTGTTGGTAACTGAGACAGGGAATAGCTTCTTAAACGAAACTGCTCATTATTAATCGTCTGAGAGAACTCTTTCTGCCTTCCATCAGTATGGCTGATGCTAACCTTCAGGAGAGTCACTCATTACACCTTTTCGGGTTAACGCCTTCCATTAACATGATGTGGAAAGATTATATTAAACAAATTGCTAGGTTCGCTGTGTAGTGCTAGAAAGGTTTCCCTTCAAGAATGTATCTAACGAATTTATAAATCT